AATATTCTTGTAATATTCACTTGCTTCTAAAACTGTATAATTCAAATATTTCAAATTTATTTAAGTATTTATTAAATAATAAGTTTATTTATTGATTTGCATATAAAACATATTTTAATTTAGGAACAATTAAGTAATTGTATTTTTTCATTAGAAATACTTTTTGTCTTGTTATTTTTTCTCATAAGGAATCACCATCCATTCTTTATTAATATTTACATGTGGAAAATCGCTTATATTTTTATTATATGATTTAAATTCCATAACTATAGCGTTAGCTTTAATCCCCATCAAATAACATAGTAACATTAATGTTAATGCTAGAAGTTTCTAAAACGAGATTTTAAATTAGTTTATTTAATCCAAAATCTATTATAATTATTATAAATTTTATTCAGAATATTTATTATTGTTTCAAAATAAATTATACATAGATGTAGCTTACTTACATTAATTATTTTCATTTCCATACTATTTTCTATTTATATTTACCAAAGGAGGATAATAATAACAATAAGTTATGAAAACTACTAAATGTATCTATGTTTATTAAATTGTATTCATAAACAAACTTAATTGTTTAATTGTATCGTATCTTAAGTAAGTTTTAAATAGAAACATAAATAATAAGTAAATAATTAGTTTTTACGAAAACAAATGAAAAATAAAACGTTTTTGTTCATTAAAAATAATTTAATAATACAAAATAATAAATTAATGTTTTTTACAATATCTAAAATTTAACAAAATTAGTTGTATACTAGGGCGGAGCGATAAAAACCTTTTTTGAAATTTTTTATCCCAGGGTGTGGATTATATATACAGGGTGTTTCTTTTAACTTGAGACAGCTCAATATCTCGAGAAATACGCATTTCACGGAAAAATGTCTTAAATAAAAGGTTAATGTGACTAAAGGGGACATTATTTGGTGCTACCGCTAGCCACCCCCTACCCCTCCAAGGGTGAAACGGGGGGTAACTTTGAAAAGTCAAATGGAATGACCCGATTTTTTTCACAGAGTTTGGTAGTACATAAAAAAATAAATAACTTTTATTTAAAACTTTTTTCAATTTATCAACAGATGGCGCTGTAATTCAAAATTTAAGAAAAATTAGTTTCCTTGTAAAATGTATTATTTGAAACGTTTGAAAAACAAAAATTAATATTAACAGCAATAGTCGGCTATGAAAACAATTTATAACAAATGTTCGAAATGTCGTCATTCCATTTCAACACATTTTTGAATGCGGGTAATGAATTCTGGCACACAACGCGCCAACATATCGGGCGGTATCGCCGCACAGGCGTTCCTGATCCGCTCCACCATGTCCTCCCAAGTTGTAGGAATTGCAGCGTAACCTTTTTTTTCAAGTAACCCCACTGGAAGAAGTCTGGTGGCGTAAAATCAGGTGATCGAGCAGGCCAAATTACTGGACCACGTCTACCGATCCACCGCGGTGCACCGGCCATTGAACTCCCGATCCAACACCTCTCGAGCAATAGTCGAATAATGTGCAGGACAACCATCTTGCTGGTACCACATGTTTTGGAGCCGTGCTAGTGGTACATCCTCCAAAAGGTCCGTCAGATCGTTTTCTAGAAAATTCCGGTACTTTTCGCCATTTAATGCACCGTCAATAAAGAAGGGTCCGATTAATCGTTCGCTTAAGGTACCGCACCAAACGATTACCGACCAGGCCCTGGTCACCAGGGACGCTGGTGCTCCACTTGGTGTCGAAATGGAAGGACGACATTTCGAACATTTGTTATAAATTGTTTTCGGAGCCGACTATTGTTGATTTAATGTTAATTTTTGTTTTTCAAACGTTTCAAATAATACATTTTACAACGCCACAAGTTTTGAATTACAGCGCCATCTGTTGATAAATTGAAAAAAACTTTCAAATAAAAGTTATTCATTTTTTTATGTACTACCAAACTCTGTGAAAAAAATCGGGTCATTCCATTTGACTTTCCAAATGGATTATATTTAACTTTAAAAAAATTGGCATTGTGCGATGATATTTTGAGGTTGCTTTTTGAATGTAAAATTTAAAGACACAATTAAAAAACAAAAATTTTTTATATTTTTAAAATTAACGTTTTTTTTCAATTTCGTTTATCCCTGGGTTGGCTCAATGAGTACATATTTAAGTTTAAATTAACACATAAAAAATCAGTTTTAGGTAAAGAAAACTTCAGGTTTCCTTTTTTAATTTAAAATTTTAATGAAAAACATATTTTAAATGATGTTTAAACTCTAAAACCAAATTTATATTAAATAAATAACACTAATACCGCAAGTTTTTTTCGTGACGAAACAATTCGTAACTGGTTATTTTGGTGTGGTGGGGGAAGGCAGAAGGGCTTTAGTGCTTTACCGAATTAGTTTAAGCGCCGATCCTGATTGCGTTAGATGTAATAACACATCGAGTTACTTTTATTGGTTTAAAAAAATTAAAAATGCCTAAAACCCAAGTAAAATGTAAAATTCAGAACATATTGTTTAAAGTAAAAGTATAGAAAAAGAGGACCAAATGGATGGTATCGATATTACCGAGTCTGATGTATCACAAGCATTAACTTCTTCTAGAGTGCCTGGTTTTATATAATGTGGCTGAAGCATGTGACAGAACTCTCCGATAGAAATGCGTCTTTCCTGGGAAACGCTGTATTTATTAAGTGACGAGAATCCTTCTTTAATCACCGACAGAAGTAAAATAAGAAGAAAAAGGAAACGACGGAGGGAAAATTTGGTTAATATGGAAATTCGGGAACAAAAAGAAGTTTCTGGAATTTACTTCGACGAAAGAAAAGACAAGACGCTTGCTGTTGAAAAAATTGGATCTTCTTATCAAAGCAAATTATTGAGGAACACATAGTTCCTATTGCAGAACCAGGTTCTACTTACTTAGGTCATGTGACTTCATTCAAGAGTATTTGGGTGAAAATTTAAACAAAATTGCGACGGTACGGTAGTAAATACAGAAAAATGGTGTTATAAAACAGTTCATTGGCTTATATGCCTGTTGCACTGAAATGAACTTCCTCTTCGTCATTTAGTTCATAAGATAGATGGAAGAACTAATGATCCAAGAGGCTTTATCGGTCCTATAGGAAAGCAGCTTAGTTATTGTGACAAGATGCCTGTTGTGCCATTTCAGATAATTAAACCTGACGTTGGATTGCCTCCAATAAATTTTAGAGATTTAAGTACAGACCAAAAGTACGAAATGGTTCTGGCAATAGGAGAAGGCAAGGTTCCCCCCTGTTGGCAGCAAAACAGCCAGTAAAAATGTCCCATGCACGATGGTTAACAACAACAAACAGAATATTAAATTATATGTTACAATAGAAGAATCATCTTATAAATTAAATATATTAACATACTCGTTATTAAGGTAAAGTACCAGTCAACACGCTTGTAAGTATGACCCTCAACATTTATTTTATTTAATCCAAGCTTTTCTTTATTTACCGACCAAATTTAAAGACATTGTTAATAAGGTTATCCAAAGAAATGCCTTTTTTGCTCAATCGGAAAATGTTTTAATTGCAATGATGGGCGATGACAGAAAACACATTAGAGAGTTGGCGTTACGTCGAATTTTAAAATGTCGAGATTCCAAAACTAACCTCCAACTTCATGATTTTAAAGTGCCAGAAGTGAACTTTAATGCTACCGATTTTACAGAGCTAATTAATTGGCAATCAGATGAAGTCACAGAACCTCCATTGACAAAAAGTATCCCAGAAGCAAATATTAGGAAAATGGTTGTTAATATTCCCGAAACCATACAAATTTTGAATTTTCCATGCCATACTCAGGCTGTGGAAAGTCACATTAGGATGGTAACTGAGGCAGCTAAGTCAGTATGTAAAAACAAAGCGAGAGACGGGTTAATTCGAGCAAAAATTGCTTCTAGAAAATCTACACCACAAATGAAAACAAAGAAAAATTTTACCAAGTAAAAATAAATTGCAAATTTTTCTCTATTTTAAAATAAAAAAGGAACCTGAAGGACTAAATATTTTTTAAAGAAATTTAACATGTATATTTAATTAAATGAAAGGCAACGATCTCGCACCCAGGCTAAACAAAAAAAACTTAGAATACCTTATAAGCCAGGCAACTTTTCGCACGCTTGTAGAAAAAATGTTGTTTTGAAGATAAAGTACTCTTTAAAAATGAATTAGTCAAAAGTGACTTGTTACTACAGTGGCTGCTTTTTTACTTATACCATGGTTAACCATGGGATAAAATGGTATCCCCAACATTTAACAGCCAATTCTTACGTAAAATTCTCCCCTGAATCCGAAAATACCATAAAATTATGAAAGTAGAGCAGTCAATTAGTCTGTTTGTTTGGTTTATAATATTTGTCTTGTAAAAATTATCAAACTGGTTGTGAAGAATCAGGTACACTTTTAATAGTTTTTTACTTCCTTTTTACTGTACTATCTAGATATATCTAGATAGTACAGTAAAAAGGAAGTAAAAAACTATTAAAAGTGTACCTGATTCTTATATATAAAATTGTATTTTTGGGTCATTTTTGTTTAACCTCCACCATACTGGGGAACCCTGTGACTGGCTCAAGAAGGTGTTATCATGCATCATGGTCTATGCTAGTAATAGATAATACTATGTCTTTAATATATCTATAATTTAAACGTTATTATTGTAATTAAGTGTTTAGACTAATCCGGTGAAAGCCTACGCTGTAAAAATTAATTATTTACTACTTCGGATCGAGCTCTGTCTATTTGACCTAACATATGAAGAGGTAAGAAGCAAAAGGGTACGGGTGCATATTAGGATAAAAATAAGTTAATTTCAGAATTGGATAGTTTATAGTCCAATTTATTAAAATAAAATATTTTTTGTTCAATAAACATACTTTATTTATTTAATTCAAATAATAAAATAGTATAAGCAAAAACAAACTTTTAATATAGGTACTACTTATTTTACAAGAATATTAAACTAATTTTTTGTATGCATTAAACTAATAGGCACATATTTATTATTAACATTTTATTTAAATAATAACTATAATACTCTATTTAATTAATTTATTTAAAAAATATTGATGAAGATTATTTTATTCGAATTATTGCACGATTTTTTTTACATAATTACAACAAATATACAGGATCCTAATAATGCTACGATTTAATACTTTTCAGAGCCGAATGCTGTTATTTAAATATTTAAAATAATAACGATCATTAGGAATTCCGGCTCTGTACATTTCTAAGTGTGTAGCAAAACACAATTAACTTTATCTATTAATTGTGACAACAAAATATGAATTTAGTAGATAGGTATATTCTATTTTTAAAACATTTTTTTCTACTTCAATACTTATAATTTGTTTTCATTCGTAGACATTTTCTACCTGTGCCATAATGAGAAATGCAATACATGGCAATATTCTGTCCATATCAACTATTGCCTTGGACATTTTATAGATCTAATATTTATCAATTTTGACAGGTTACTGTTTACATAAATTTTTTAAATTTAAAATTAGTAAACATCTGCGATAGTAAATGTTAAATTAAAAATTTAAGCCAGAGAGAAATTGAAAAGCCGCAAACAACTTATTGCCGACAAAATCAGCAAAAAGGTACCAAACGTTTCAGATTGAAGGTGTTAATTGTCTACTTTATTATGATAGTCGTAGAAAAAATAGTTTTCGCAACTCCCAATTATTGGGCTATCAAAATACTCGCACTCATTATGACATTCGCCATTAATAGCCATTATTAAATGGTCGTTGCATAATATACCTACTGTTGATAAATAAGCTATGTATCTTTATGTATTTAAATATAGATATTATACCAGGTATTTTATATGATATGAGCATAGGTATCACATAAATAGAATAAATTACAATATGTAGGTACAAAGCGTTTAAGATAAATACATTTAATAAAATTAATCACAAGAGCGTCGCCAGCCAAAGGGTCAGGGGGGGCAAGATTAAAAATGAATTGTAGGTTAAAAATGACCAAACATTCGACTAAAATTGAGCTGTTCCTTAAATGTAGGAATTGACTCGTAATCAAATTCTGAGCAACTTGTTGTTTCTGTTGCCTGTAAGTCTGTGAATCCCGGTGGCTAGAAATCCAATAACTGAAAAGTAGAAATTTGTACCTTTTTTTCGTCCATTTTTTTTTGTTCAATTTTGTCCATTTACCGGAAAGGTTGATTTGGGATTAAATGGTTATTAAATTTTGTTTCTTGTAAATGAGTTGGATCCATTTAAAATTAAAAACAAAATACACGAGTTGAAGGGTAAAATAATAAAGTTTACATTACTAAAAAATAATTATCATTAAATTTTAAAGTCCCTAGGGGTGGGACAGTTACTTTCCTGCCCCCGCTTCTTGGCGATGCCCATTTATAGAAAAACCACGATATACTCTCTAAAAAGAAATAAGTCAAAAATTACTTATTGTCATAGTGAAAAAGCAGCCACTAATAATTCTCGTCAATAGCAATTTGTATCCTGAATATTTAGCTGTCAATTTCCATGTAATATTGCCCCCTGAAGTCAAAAATTATAAAAGTATAACACTTTTCGAGATATAGACAATTTTATTAATAATTTTCGGATTTACACTGTTTAAAATATCTGTGGTGTAAAGAGTAATCTTAAAATGGTGTCAAAATCCAACACCGTGGTGTTAATATTAACACCATGAATTATGGTTGGAAATGTTATATACAGCAAACATCAAAACGGTGTTTATCTAAAAATATTTGAGAAGTGCACCTAAACAGAAAATAGTAATAGTTCATTTAACTATATTAATTTAGTTGACAAAGATTAGTTTGACGGTACTAAACCAGATAGTTATTTTTTTTTAATTGGTTAAATTAACCCAGAAAACTTTAGGGAAACCAACCCCCTGTATGGTTCAGTTTACTAAATATGTTGTTTGTAAAATAAGAATTACTTCAACCTAAAGCACTCTGTTAAAACGATTAAAACAATTTGCAGTGCATTCCTGGTTGCATAGTATGTACCGATCGCGGCAAAGGCGGTGTGGATCACGTGATGTTCTTAAATCTCGCCTCTGTTGACTTACATGAAGAGTATATAAGCTCAGGTAGTCCTTTGCTTTGGTGTGACACTACAAGTTGTTCGATACTTGAAGAATTTTAAGTTGATGGAACGCACTAAAAACATTATCAAGTTGAATATTCAATTTTCTGGAAAAATACTACTTGTAATGCGTCAGAAAACTTCCTGTTTTCTGTTTTTTTCCTTTTTTTCTTCGTAGTATGATTTAATTTGACCAAAAACACATAATATTTAACACTGAAAAGGAGTTCAATTTACACCAGGTAAAATTAATTTTAATACTGTGTGAAAGTTAAATTCACTCTTTAAGTATTTGAATTTACACTGAACCAACGAACCTTATTTAACACCATTTTGGTTTGTATCGATATAGACCATTTATGGTGTTAATTTGGTGTTAAAATGGTCATGAAATTTTGAACAGTGTAAGGGACAATTTTACATAAGAATTGGCTGTTAAATGTTGGGGATACCATGGTATGAGTGAAAAGGCAGCCACTAATACCTGTAGCAACTAGTCATTTTTGACTAATTCATTTTTAGAGAGTATGTTAGTTGTTTTTCGGATAATTGTTTGTGCGTATTATTTTATTTTTTCAACATTTAATTAAATATTTTTAATAATTATAACAGCATACTTTAAAGAAGAATATAAAAATAATAGGTTTGCCAAAGCAAAATGGGTTTATTTTTTAATAATATTAAACAAATGTTGATTGCTGTTAATCGTTTGTAAACAAAAAACAGCCTTTTTAATTATAATTAGCTATTTAGTAATTATTTAGTAAAAATTTTACTCAAAGTAATTTATACTGTACACAAAATTATATTGATATAAATAGTTTATTGTAACTTCAACAATTTAAAAATAGTAATTTTTTACTTTTAGCAGGAAAAGTATTAAATGCAAGGTAGACTTTAAACACATCTTTAAAACATTACAGTTTACAATTAGTACTAACTAACTTTCCCAGGGTATACAAAACGTCAAACACATTTCGTTACTCCCGATGAAGTGCTGCAAACTACTTTTACGTGGTCACTTCGGTCTGGGAGGCGTGGGAGGGGGTTGCGTTCCTCCGATGGACATCGACCTTTGGGGGACAGGAGGAGGTCGACTTCCAGCGGGCAGCTGCGCAGGAACCACAAAAGTCCTCCCTCCGGGCGGTTGAGCAGGAGGCGCTACCCCAGGCGGCAAAGCTGGAGGGGGGTAATTGGGTGGTCCTCCCAGTGGGGTCACAGAACCCGGTTCTGGACTTGTTGGAGGAGGCATGGTTTGAGGAAGAGGGGTGTGGAGTTGTTTTGTTAGTATAGGGGTGTGTTCTGGTTTTGGGTGGGAGGAGGCTGTAGGTAGATGGGGGGTTGTTTTTATTTTCGGCTTTAAACCGGACTTATCCGAACCAGCTGCTACGTATGAAAATACGCACAGGACTGAGTAACAAATTTGGTCAGCCTAAAAATAATCAACAGTTTAGTAAATGTGCATTTTTTCTTAAAATATGTTAAAAACTTTTAGAGCATAGAAGAGTTTTAGCCACTAATTCTATTTTATAAAATATTAAAAATATAAGATGGTATTTTTTATACAGCAACAATACATTATAAAACAAAGATGTGTATTTTAATGGCAACTTCAAAGTTATTATCAAAGATTAAATATTCAAAAATATCAAGTATACAAATTTTGAAGAACTCATTTTTTTTTCAAAATCCAAGATGACGCTACAGGCACGTGTTAATAATATTCTTTTGATAATATTAATATATTTTTTCATATTTTTTATAATTTTAAACCATTGACTCTAATTTAAATACAGAGTGGGCAAATTGAAAGTTTCCATTTTTAAATTTTTAACCACTCAACCCATAAGCGTGAGTGATTGTTACCGCCAAAATTTGAATAGGAAAGGGGGATCGACTGATACTTCATTTTTAAGGTAATTTTGCCCTAATTATATAATTCAAGTTTAAAGTCGTAGGAATCATCCCCGTTAATATGACAGCTTGTCAAAATCTTGGAAACAGACTATTGTTTTATTAGGAGTTAAAAATACCTACTAATTGAAGTTTTCACATGACATTTATTTAACAAACTGTTCAAAATGTCCTCCATTAACATTCATGCAATAATAAAATCGATTCTTCATTTCTTCTCTTACATTCTGCAACATATCAGGGGTTATCCTTTGACACTTTTCAACTATTGGTTTTTGTAGACATTGAAGAGGATCTCGAGGTGTTTTATAAATTTAAGATTTTAAATGAACCTATAAAAAGAAGTCCTTGCAGGCCACTTAATAAGCCCTCTTCGGCCAATACAATGGTCTATAAAATTGTTGTTTAGAAATTGCCGACCAGGTGCTGTATAATTCGGTGGGGCTATATCTTATTAAAAGAACATTTCATTCTATAACAAGTTGTCATCTTCAACAATAACCTATTTTAGGAACAATATTTTCCTCAAGCAAAGTATCTGACTTTTTATCGCCCCAGTCAAATTCCCTTGTAAAAAGAATGGTCCAATTTTGTTATTGCTTAGGAAACCTTTCCAGACATTTAACTCTTTTCAGGACATTGGATATGAGACTCTAAATAAATTATAATTATCCTTATTAGGTTGGTAAAGCAATTGTATCTTGAAGGGGTAAAATTTGTTAAGCTTACGCTTGTTTGTAATATGCCGGAAACTTCGGACAATTGCCTAGTACTTAATGTGTTATCCATTGTTATGTATTCGAGACATTTTTTTCCTGTCTTTTATTAATTAGTCGAGCTGTTTGTCTTGCACAGTCATTGATTTTAAAATAAGTATTAACTAATTCAAACCGCTCAGCTATAGTGTAAACCACTCTCTAAAAATGAAACAGTGGATTTTCACTGATTGACAGTGCATATTAACTATTTGCCGCAGTGATAAGTATACCACTAGCAATTAGTGAATACTCACTTTTTCATGTAGCGATTTCTTTGCACTATTTATTTTGTGAAAATTACACTGTACAAATTTCACTATTTTATGTCGATAGTTCCGGAAAAGTAGTAATAATAAAAAACACTAATTTGGAGAAGTTAAAATTTCACTAATTTATATCGAAAAACACTAATTTTACAGTGTTTTAATAACTCACTGACGGAAATAGTGAAAGTTTTACTCTTTCACTTTTAGAGAGCATAATTAAATTTCGTTACAAGCTTCTTAACTAAGGTTAATAATCTTGGTGATGATTATGCGACAATATTTAGTAAATAAACTTTGCAAAAAACACACTTTTTTCTTTAACCATAAAAATACTGATGTTTTGCTATTAATTACTTCATTCGTTTCGCACACGTACAGACTTGTCACAAAAGTATCGCTTTTACTCCTACTAATACGATAGTGTATTTTTAAAATTCATATCAACGCGAATGATAGCAGCGACTTAAAACAGGTTTAATCAGGAAAAAAAACCTTTAAAATAAAGTATTACTCGACCCCCCTTTCCTATTTAAATTTTGAGGGGTTGGGAATATAAAAATAAATTGTCCCCCTCAAATCAGAAATCGACGGGTGCAAGCGGTTTTTTTCGTAAAACCTGAGAAAACCGGGGTGAAAACTTTCCATTGGCCCACCCTATATGTAAACTCTTAAGTATTTTATAATTTATCTTATTTAGCCTTAATATGTTTTTAAATCATAAATATGAAAACACAATGAACAACCTTTACAAAAACTGTGTAAGTAGGTTATATAAATTAAAATAAATGCGTGTAATAATAATATTATATATTATATGTACAAAAATAAAAGTGTCTTACTTTGAAAAACAAAAACTCATGCAAATTCTGGATACGATTTAAATTCGTGTATTTTCTGTGTCATGCATATGGAAACAATCCTGAGAAAACTTAACAATAATTGTGGTGCCTATAAAATAAAAAAATGTCAAAAATGCAAAAACAAAAATGTAAACTTCTAAAACTATTGTAAGTATGTAAGTTTGTGTGATATTTACCATAGGAGATTTGTATTTTCTCTGGATAACTTGACGGGTTTTGGGATCTGCAAAAAAAATTTGTTATAAACAAATACATATTTTTTATTATTTAAAGTGTAAATCCTTGTAATTAAAAATCATGCAAATTGACAAACATGTTTTTTTAACAAATAATAAATGTCTAACTTTATAAATCTTTTTAAATTCCACTTATAGCAATTCTAGAAAAAAATACAGATGTACAACACTTTTAAACAGAAACCAGACTATATGTTTCCAGACTGCCAGACTGGTTTATGACGTGCTGATGCTGACCATAGAATTGTTTCATTACATCAGGTTATCGAGAAATTCTTACCCAAAAGTAAAAATTAGTTTTTTCCAATATTTATTATATATTTCAACATACTCAATATACTTTCCTTTTCTAAAAATCTTTAACTAAAAACTCTGAAGAACACGCGCTTATATTTTGCGTAATTACACGCATTGATTACCATAGTAATCCATATGTTTTTTGAGGTATTGTTTTAGAAAAAACAAAATTTTCATATTAAAAATTCGTAAAAACTCAAATATTTGTCACATGAAGTGAATAAATGTATCAATTGTAGTGAAGAAACAAGCTAATCATTAGATTGAGTGTTTTTTAAAGTTGAATTTCCCTGATAGTTGCCAATTTATTAAATTATTCTTCATCAAAGCGAGTACATCTCATCATAAAATGCAAACAATTTACTGACATGTAGAAATATAGCCTTAGTATCCATAATTTTGCTGTTGTTCCACAAAATGCCCAAGTGTCAAAGCTGCTGTACAGATTGTTAATGTCTTTAATACATTATTATTATTATTATTATTATTATTATTTATACATTATTATTATTATTATTATTTATACATTATAATCCAAAAAACATGAGAGGAAATCAAGTTGTGATTTTGCATTTCCTTCTCCTTTTGGCTCTGGTAGACTCAAAACAATATTCTATGAACGAATATGAGAGTTCTGAGCTAGACAAGCTTTGCTTTATTTTCTTGCTTCATCTTTTTCATGTAGTAATTATAAATGCCACTATTAATTTTGCTCTACTTTGATTCTGAATATACATCTTGTTCTAATCGAGCCTACTTTAAATGTAAGTGCTCTAATATCAATAGATTCACTGAAAAAAAACAAAAGTTGTTTTTTTTCATCCCCACCCACGTATGGTAAAAGGGCGCCTCGCTGTCGGCAATGCTGACTCAGCATATCGTATAGTCTATACGGTATTATAATAGAAGAGTTAAGACCTGCGGCTTTATAGTAGGTTGATGCATAGTTGATAGAAATGCCGAAAAGAGAAGGGTCAGGGCGAAAGCCAACAACGTTAAACAATTTGTTTAAGAATATTACTAATGGTAAATATGAAACTATAATTAGTATTTAATATTCTTCTAGTGACAGAATGTGCCAAAAATTCTTTCCTCAGCAGTGACATTTCGAAAATCCTGTCACTTAATATAATTTGAGTATTTTTGACCATTTTTTTGAAAAAAAAACATTTTTTTTTTTGAAAAAAAAACAAGGTCCTCTGTTTTTTTTTCTAAAAAAAACATTTTTTTTTTGAAAAAAAACAAGACTGTTTTTTTCAGTGACAACACTAAATATCAAATATATAAAATGCAAGTCTTCATAAGCTATAATGTCATCTTCATCTCCATTATCACCTGATCATTTATCATCAATATTCTTAATAGCTGGTTCTTCCTGATCCCCCAAAATATACCACCCCATTAAAACTCTTTCGAATTCTGGACTACTGTAGATTATAAACCAAAACTATTATTATAAATATTAATGTTTGACAATTATTTCTTTTTATAAAAAAGCTTAGCTAGCTCTAAAACATTCAATTTATTTAAGTCGCATCAGAACAAGCGTGGATAACAATTGTAACAAAATAGTTCTTCAAGGCACATCTGAACAAATCATGATGCAATGACATACTTCACGTGAAGGCACTAGGTAGAACAATACAAAAATGTAGGTGGTCCAATATTAAGTCGTGCAGAAATAGTAACAATAATATTATTTTGGGTTAGAATTTTTTAAAAACCTGATGTAATGGAGCCATTCTGAGTTTGGATTAGAACTCATCACATCAAAAATCATCAAAAAGTTTAACTAGGTAGTTTCTGTTATAGAAATTTGCTTTCATTTTGTAGACCAAAATATAAAAAAATTGTATTGTTTTATGTAAATAATATTTGTTTTTTTCCTAGCATACTATTTTTCATGCGTTCGACTGAAAATGCCTCTTCCTGAACAAAAAAATTCAGCATTATTTTTATGAGACTGTGACTTTGGCCCCCCTAGACCAGGGGCACGGTGCGGGCCATCTCTTTTACTCTGTCTCTGTTTATTAATAACAGGGTGGAATATTTATTTAAAAAACATCCATAACATTCCTTTAAATATTAATAAAAAGGTAAATTTTTGAACAGGAACATGAATTTTTCGATACTTGTATAAATAGTGATGGCCGGACCCAGAAGAAGAGAAAAAAGTTAAGCATTTCTACACTTTTTGTTAATATTTTAGGCAATATTACGTTAATAATATTATTTTAAAATTAAACCAGCGTTTGAATACAGTGTTTGTGATAAAAGAAAGAATTGTTTATACTTACTGAACTCTTCAATGATGAAAATACTTCCTTGTTGGGTAAAACACTTTCTGATATGGTCAATCCGTACGAAAAACTGAAAAAACCCAAATCTTGTAGGTAAACTAGTACATGGTACACTAGCAGTTAAAATTGACATTGCATTCAAATAAAAGCAAAAGCATAGTAAAGAGTAGATGGCATGCAACGTTGCAAAAATGCATTGGCAACGCCGCAAACATAAATAATAGCCGTACAAGCGAGCCCGGACTATTGAGATGGTTTTAAATGGCCTACACTGAAAATCATTTACTTGAACTTGTGTGAGTGTTTGCATGTGGTGTGATTGGCTGTCTGTGTTTTGTGGTTAAACGTATTAAGTTAATCAATAATTCGTTAGCAGACTAGTGTCAGATATCTCTAACCTTTAGCAAAGACTTATGCAATGTTGCCAGGTTAGGTAAAGGTATGGTTGTGTGTCTGTAGGTTACCTCGCATCTCTATTTTGTTTTTAGTTTTAGCGTGTAACATGCTGTTAACCGAATAATTTAAAGCAAAACACTCTACTACTGTACTACAAATAAATTTGCTTCGTGTTTTGTGTTGTTCATATAAAAATACATTCTACCTTAATTAGTTCCTACAAACCTTGTTTAAATGGTAAAAAGCATAACAATATAAAAGGTAAAATATATCCTTAACATAATAAAATTACTTTGATTTATTCTTTGCCTGGGTGTGTTAAAAAGTAAGATGCAATTTCACTACTAAGCGTGTAACTAGTAAACAAAAAATAATAAATAACTAATGGTACTAAACTAACGACCAAATAAAATATTTGTTATAGACCTGATTTTTTTATATACCTCAAAGTCCTGCAAAAAGTCGCCAGTCGATTCGTTGATGGGCAAAGATGAAACGGATTACAAAATAAATTAACACAGATATCATTTATAAGTTAGTTTATTTTTCCAAGGACCATCTCAAAAGTACCTGAGCTTTTAGCTGTTTCGAAATATATTAATTAACAATATTCTGACATAAACTACATTTTACTATTAACTTTCGAAACAACTTTTTGCCACAAAGTGACCACTCATTAGATAGAAGAATAAATAGAGATAAAGAAAAATACATCAAGCATTCATATAGAAACTAAATTGTGGCACATTCAGCTTACATGCAAATTTAAATATTTTTATTTAATTATTAAACTGATTTATTTACATTATGTTTGTTATGATATTCATGGTCCCATTTTTTAATTACACAGTCTTACAGGGATCTTGCAACAGAGGTGAGTAATTTTTTTCATGTTCAGGGCAATCAAAAACTTGCCAAAAAAGAGAAGGTCAGCCAAAGAATTGTTTTGCTTGGTAACCAATATTAAATTTGTTTATGAAATTAAAAAACTCGCTAGGTTTTGTTAATTAATAACAATAGATATACACGGTGTCCCTAAACTTAGTGACATAAATTTAGGAGCAGATTAAGAAAGTCAAAATAAGATGAAAATCTAAATAAATATTGTTCCCAATTACGTATGTTTAAAAGATACAGGGTGATAAAGTGTGACTTATCATATCAGTTTTTTTTTATGTAACTCTTCTACTATGGTAGACTTGGAAAGGTAATATTTTGAGAACAGTCACTTACTACCAAAACACATATTCACACATAATTACAGTTGTTCGAGTGAACACAGTGTAGTAGAAACAGGGGTTGCTTAAGCTTATTGTCCCATACAAACTTTGAGGTTAGGTTTTTATACCATTTGATGCAATTTTTCGATTACTCAGTTCACAATTAGAATTATGTGTAAATATGTGTTTTGGTAGTAAGTGACTGTTGGCAAAATATCACCTTTCCAAGACTTCCATATTGTAGTTATATTAAAAAAACTGATATGATAAGTAACACTTTATCAACCTGTATCTTGGAAACCTTAGTAATTAGGAAAAATATTTATTTAGGTTTTCGTCTTATTATTACTTGCTCAATCTTTTCATAAATTTATGCCAATAAGTTTAGGAACACCTTGTATTAACAATTCTTACTTGCTCAAATTTCAAGCTATATCCAAATCTTTTTGATTCATTTATTAATATAGTGGAAAAGGTAAAAAAGCAAATTTAACGAAAACCGAGATAACCATACTTGAAAAATTGTTTAATCTTTATGTTTATTTTCGCATTAACAACAAAAATTGCAAAATTGTCAAAAATTATAGTTTTGCTAGTAAACTACTTCTAAAAGACGCTTAATAAAGAATATGTATCAATTATTTGATAACAAAATTTGGAACAAAAATATAATTTTTTGAATATAAAGAAGTCTAAATAAACTAAAATGTTCGTTATTAATTTTCATACATTGGTTACGAAATTGAGGTTATCTCTTACAGATTATTCAATATTGTGTAAATAATAGTGTGATTATAAACAATCATTTAGGGCTTTAAAAAATCACAATTGTGAATATGTAGTCTTAAATGTTTATGACAAATTTTTTAAATAAATTGATAAGAGTGAAATTATTATTTCTGTTTTCTTAGACTTCAAGCGAGCTTTCGAAATGTAAATAAAGAGTTCTTGCTTAAAAAGCTTAATAAAATAGGTTTTACGCATGTTTTTTTAATGGTTTGGTTCATATCTAACGAATAGATCTCAAATTGTTAAAATTAATATTGTAATGTTAGATAAAATTTAAAGCCATTATGGGCTACCTCAGAGTACTGTTTTGTGACCTCTATTATTATTATTGTTTATAAATAATTTTCCAAAGAATGCCAAAGATTGTGATATTTCTGTTTGCAGATAATACTATGATTTATGTTAGTGGTGATAATATTTTCGGTATAGTAAAAATTTTAAATATATAATTAAAATAATTAATTGTTTCGACTTTTACTTGATGAAACTCCATGTTAATAATATAAACAGTGTAGTTTATATTAACATATTATATAATTAAAAAATATTTGTAAAAGGATTGTGATTGTGTCTAAATCTAAGTAAAACCGTATATAGTATACATTTAGTCATAAAACTGCTAATATAGATTTTGAATATGTAAACATATTTATAAATAAGATAAAATTGAAACAGGATAAAATAAATTATCTGGGTGTTCTTTTTTATTCAAATTTATAAAATTTCCTTGGTAAAATTGGAAAAAATCTATCATTGCAAGTAAAATTATTGTTGTATAAAGCCATTACGGTTTCACATTTTGAATATTGTTTAAATGTTTTATTCTGTATAAATAGTAATGAAATACAAAAACTTTAAAATAAAGCATTAAGAATTATTTTAAAAACTATACCAATTAAAATGATGCTTTATATATTATCAGTGTAAAACAGTATGCGGTTATTTAAACATTAATATTATAATTTATTAAATTTATTTAAACTCAAAGCTGGAATTATTCCTGTATATTTAAATAAGAAATTAATTTTAGTACAAAGTACCAATAATTACAATACTAGGGGATTAATGATTTTTATGTGAGGAATTATGATAGGGTGCAAACAACAAAACATGTTTCTGATGGTTTGGTATTATTTATTATCCTAATAGCTTGTGATTTTCGGTTTGGTATTGATAATTCAGTTTAAATTATAAGAAACCCAAGCGATTTTTTAAACTTTATCAAAAAACAGAAAATTATCTATTTCTCGAAAATTCTTCGGCTGACGTCCGCTTTTATCGCAACGTTTTGGGTACCCTAACCCCTAACACGAAAAATATCTCAGCTTTCTTGCAATTTTTTTTACAGTGTAATTATAGTAATTAATTTACAATATAAAATAGACTTTCTTACTATTTTGATAAAAACAAATGTTTTTCAGACATTTTTGTTAGATCTTATTTTGCAATAACATGTTTTTACAGTAGGTACTATAAATAATAAAAATTTAGTTAACGGTAAGTAAATAGTTTTAAAAACATTATTCGTTAAAAATTACGGTTTTTATAGTTTATCTTTATTTATTGCAAAAATGGCGAATGCACCGGGATATTCATTACTTAAATATTTTTATATTTTAATTATTATTATTAATAAATAAATAGGAATAGGTCAATTAAGGCTAACTGATTACTTTTAAGAAATTCTACAAAATAATCTTTTATGTTTGTGTATATGTAATTTAAAATTGATTAAGAAAAATATTGGATTTATAATAATATAGTATATCCTATAATACTATTTATAGTTTCTTAAAATACGGATAATTTTATCGACATGGTTAAAAATCCTATTATAAACTATACTAACCAAACATTTACCGATAATTTAGTTTCAGCGTTAGTTTCTGGTTTTTATCTATACCAAATGGTATAGTTATACAGGGTTTATATCCTTCTATACTTCCATGTAAATTTTATTTAAGGAGCTACAAGGTCGATTAAGTTAAATAAAAGTTGCGTTATTACAAGCCTATTCAAATAAAATTTATATAATCGCGCCCAAATCTGTATGGGTGCACGTCATCAATGCGATATAATGACGTCAGCATTACATTAAATTGTAAAGTTACTGCCGTTAAATTTGCTTTTTTATTGTGTAATTCTGATGCGTATTGTTTACCAAGAACTGTAACAATTTTCCTGTTTTAAAAGTTTTTTTTACGAAATTATGAAAATAAAACCATTTGATCGATCGACCAATATTACTGATGGGTCAGGGTCAGTTTATATTTGACGTTTTTTTGTAATTTTGACATTTAGTCCGTTAGCATAATTTGCTGCAGATTATTATAAATAATTTTATACATTGTGTTTATCATATTCTACCACGTAAACCACACAACAAGGTATGTTCGATCTCGTTCTAAAAATACTAAAAATTACTGGAACACTGCACATCATTTAATGGCGGCCATTTTTGTTGTTAACAATTCTTGTACTTTGCACAGATTAATAATCATTATAAACCTTATTCTATCAGGGCTGTCAAATGTCAATTTGAAGGTTAATTTGTGGGTTATAAAATAACCTTAAAATTGACATTTGACAGCCCTGATAGAATAAGGTTTATTTTTTACAAAAGAGAACTAAAATGATTGTTCTTACCACTTTGAGGTCTCTTTTAAGGCTTGCAAGTGCCTCTATTAAAAACACAACGTTTAAAACGATTATTAATCTGTACAAACCCAAAGCACCAGAATTGTAAACAACAAAAATGGCCACCATTAAATGATGTGCAGTGTTGCAAGTGATTTTTAGTATTTTTATTACGAGATCGAACAGACCTTGTTGTGTGGATTGTGGTTTAAACAATGTTACAAGACTTGTTGCCAACTGTTATAGATTGCAAAGACATTGCGCCCTTAATAATAAATCTGGGAAAATAATTAGACTCAAAGTCTGACCTGTTTCGCTCTGACGACGAAGTTGTGTTATGTACATATTTAATAAACAAACTTCGTTTGTTTTCTCTCTAAACACATTTAATCAAAATTTGCCCGTAACAAATTCCCAATTAGTTAGTATAAAAGATTATAACAATATTGTTATAATTCCATTATAATAAACAGCCCCCACCGCTATAAACAGTTAACAATACACGAGCGATATGAATAGACCTTAACGATGACGTCATATGCCGTTGATGATGCAGATTTGACCGTGACTATAGATTGAAAAAAAAGCCAGCGATTCTCAAAATATTTGAAAAAAAAGAAAGAACCTTTTAAAACGAAACATCATTAATATTTCCCTATTCCTGGGAATTTTGAAAACTAGTAGGTTTTACATATTAACATTATATATTTATTATTTGATCACTACCATCTTTTGTTTTTATATTTACTGCCATTACGTATGTAGTAAGTTTGCTACATCGTTGGATTTCTTGATCTAACCATGTAAAATTACAATATGGCGGCCATAGGAAAACATAAGGTGGTGTTGGTGGTGATAACTCAAAATCTAGTAGGCGATTTTTTTTTAATTTCCAAGAATAACGAAGTTATAACGATTTTTGGTTTTGACAGGTTTTTAGTTTTTTAAATTATTTGAGAACAGCAATTTTGTTTTTAATTTTAAAATGCCATTTTAATAGACTTGTAATTAAGCAACTTTTCTAATTCAACTGACCTTGTAGCCTATTAAATAAAAAAATACAAAAAAATGATAATTGGTGCACCCTGTATACTATTCTTGTTCAAATGTTTCATAAATACCACTGTGCAATAAAAAAATATAGGTAAAATTTAAAATTTAAAATGCAATCCCAAAATCATATTATTCAAAGAATAAGCGGTCCAGTAAAATCTTTGGAATTACCCAAATTTATAAAACAAACCGCCATTTTAAAGACTATGTAATCCCTTTTAAAAGATGTATCACAATATACCCCTTTCCATTTAAAAAAAAATAAGAGTGAAAATCAATGTGTAAATATGGTCCCCTCAAAACAAAAGTTTACGGGTATAAATATTTTTTTATTTTTACATACATTGCTGGACTTTTTTCTATGGGCCAACCTGTATATTTGTGGCTAAGATATCTATATTGTGGTGACGGTTATTCTTTTGTTTTTTTTTTGTTTTTTGAGATTAATCTAAATTATTTGTTAACAGTCTAAAAACAATTTTGATTTTTTTTCCTGTTGTCGTTGAAATGACTACATGACATTTTAATAACATAAGAAAATTTTTTTAAGAAACTTTACGTTTTACAAAAAAAAGTTCTTTACGATTTTTTCGTAAAACCATCCATTTAAATAATATCCAAAGTCAAAAATAAGTTATTATCATTTGGGCAGTGTTAGATATCAGAAAAAATATATATTTTTGAATTGTTTTTAGACAGTAAACAAATAATTTATATTATACCCAAGTAAACAAAACAATACAACAAATAAAATACGTTTTAATTTAAGATAACCATTTTTCCCTATTCCGTTGATTCATATTTATACATGAACAAGTGTATAACTTAATTTTGTTGCGTTTCTCAATAATATGCTACTTACCCGGGTGAGATGTAACACTGACAAATAAACCTAAATAAAAAGAAAAAAGAAAGGAGACTGTAACCAAAAGGCATATATCATAGAATGAGAAAAAACTACTACCTTATGTTCTAATTAAGTCCGAGGGCCACGCTTAGTCGAAGAGACGTTTAAAATGAAGTAAATATCGATAGTATTGATACAAATTCAAATAAATAAAAAACAAATGCAGTTGGCACCGAGCTAGTGGCATAGCAAGTAGAAAATTTGAGTGGTCCTTGCAAAAAACAAATGCACAGTTCACAGCGCACCGACAACATTTAACAACCATTAGAAGATACTGGAAGGAGCAAAAATGATTTCAACTTTATTTAATTTTATTATCTAGTTTGGTTTCCGCTGGCTTTAACTGATAATTATTATAGTAGGTTTTTATTTAACGATTATACAGTACAGTAAAATATTAAATCAAATTTAGTATATTAAAAAATCTTTTTAGAGTTATATCTTTAATTTAATTAATTACAGATCAAACTTAAAATTTATCAATTTTTTAGGATTGTCATAATTATTTATCACAACCTTTTAAACGCACATGTTCAAGGTCCTGTGGCACCATTTAAAGGATTTTTACTAGAAATAGCACTTTGGTCAACCTACTACACCTATTTTATAGGCTGCAAACTAAGGACTAAGCTAAACCTAGAAATTTAAATGTGTATTTCTCAAATTTGAAAACATGCATAATTATTATTATCTTTTAAAATCATTTTTGCCTCTACATCCACTGAAGTCAAGTAACTTATGTATCTAAATAAAAAATTCATATTAAACAATGTAGCTTTATAAATTGATTCACATTATATAAAAAAATGTTATTAATTTATTAGTTAAAAAAGTATACCTTGCTATTGGCGAAAAGAAGTCCAACTCCCTCCATGCACACTTGAAGAAGTCCTCCCTCCCCTGTGCTCATATCTTGAACCGGAAACTCTCCTCCCAATTCCGGAGCGGTCCCCGCTACTCCCCCCCTTTCCATAGCTTCCTTGATGCAGTAATATAACTGTTTACACTACAAAAAAAATTATTTAATACTTTTATAAAAAATATAAAGAAAATTACTTTTTTGGTGTAATATTTGTGAAGCTGCGTTTGCTGACCATTTCGTCTCCACAAGCACAGAACCTTATTCTTCGGACTATAAGTCATGTTTACAAGCCTTTCGAACCACCATCGTTCTACTATCACCCCGGAAACCGATCTCAATACAAGCCCATCGTCACGGACCTCCAAGAATCTAAGCTCCCCACCTCCATCGACGCCTTGGTGCACCGTGAAACTTTGACGGTGTAACAAACGCGAACCCAAAGGTTTTAAGTCTATATCATTGCCATTCTAAAATTTATAATGTTTAATAATTTGTTTTAAATAGAGGGGTCAAAATCAGCAAGGTGGTCAATTTTAAAAAATATTTTTTTTTAATTTTACAAACTTATTGGATGAAACAAAACTGTTAAAAAGAGTTTCATAGACATGTGTCCAAAAATGCTTAGTTTCTTACCATTTTTTAAACTATTTTACAAACTTTTTTGTTATTTGTATGTTAAGCATTTTAATTACGCCATCCCTGATAGCACACTTTATTCTAAGGATGTTTTTTAAACCTTCCAGTGAGAATATTCTTAGGATCATGCTATATTTCTTCTAAAGAACATGCTTAAAAGACATATATGTCTATATATAGCATGATCCTAAGAATAATCTTACTGGCCTATAGGCAGATTCTTAGAAGGTGCAAAGTTTTAGTGGTATAAATTAGTATACTCCAAACCTATGCTTAGAATGTCGTCTCCTGAAAGTAATTGCTATAGAAAGTTCATTTAGGATATTCCTGTTAAGCATATTTAGTTCAGTTACCTATATAATAGTAAAATATACCATAAACTACGTATAAAGGTGTATCTCTATACCTATACTTAAGTACCTAATTAGTAATTAGTATTAAACAATATTCGATAACAAAAATACTTTTACTATAGGTATTTTATTTTATGTTAAAAATAAATATTTATTAATTTGTATATCGATTTTTTACTTCTGAATTAACATTTTTATGTATAATAATCCTAACTATCTTCAACTTCAATCTAATCTGACTTATCCCACAAAATTTTCCAATTTTACTTTTTATGAAATAATGTCATACAACTTATGGTTTAGAGGTCAAATTGTTTATTTAATATTTTTAAATAAATATATATTAATGTTGCAAATTTTTTTAAGGAGACGACAAATACATTTCACTGTCATATTATGACAGTGAGGCGTATTTGTCGTCTCCTGAAGAATTTTACGAATGTAGAATACAACATATTAGAACGTGGGTATAAAAACCTTCTAAGAACATTCCAAAAACGTATTCTTAAAATGTTCTTAGGATGCTTTTTAAGAAGCTTTTAAGAATCTTATTGCATAATTAAAAGGGTTTAAAATTCCTAAGAACATTCTTAGCAATAAGGAAAGGTTCTAAGAATATTCCATTATTCCGGGTCATATCTTCTTAGAAGATTCTTAAAATTAAATTTTGCTATTAGGGATGTATTTTGGATTATTTGGTTGCCTCAGATACTAAATTGATATTAATAATGTGATATCAGAAGAAAAAAATTTGAAAGCTTGGTGATTTTGACCCAAATATAATTATTACCAAGTGATTGATTTGGTCTAGTAGTAGGTTAACTTCTTGGCTATAGACATAACCAATATGGCTTTTTCCTAGTAGCCTTCTAATTTTTCTTTTAAGTTCTTCCTTGTTGCAATTTAGCATTACCAAAATGGCGGTTAAGTTATACAACATAGTTGCAAGCAGTTTATCTTCCTCGTGTTCCAGGCGTTTTCTTTCGGTTTCACTTAGACCTTTGTATCGTTCCATCATCTCTCTTGGGCCCTAAATAGAAAATAAAATATAAAATCGATAATTTAGTATAAAATTGTTCATTTACTTGATCCATTCCAATCATGTCTCTTTCCTGTGAAACAGCATCAAGAAAAGCATCTTCCCAAAATTGCATTTGATCCCATAGTGAGGATCTTTCCTTAGTAACAAGTCCTTCGAAAAGGTACGTTCTTGGTGCATCAGGGGATGGTGATGTTACTGTATTAACCATTTGTCCTGCATGATATCTAAATCCAGTACTAAGTGAAGATTTACTCGACCAAACACTCGAAGTTCTTTGCTTTGATTTTGGGAACTATAAAAAATAAACAATATATTAACACGATGGTAAATTAAATATAAACGGCACCGATTTCTTAAAGAAGTGTCACAATCCTAGTTTACAGATATCTGTAATATTAAAGAAGACAGAAGTACATGTTTGCTTGGATCAAAAAATAATAATAATTAAGTTATTGTCCAAGAAAATTTAGGTAATTCTGGGATAATTGATGTCAAATATCCCACCTTCCTTCAGAACTATAAAAAAGTCAGTCTCGTTTATATTTGATTTACCTTTTACCTGTACATTATACAATATTCAATTCAACATCGATTTGAATGCATATGGTACAATGAAAGCGTGATTTTACCTGTAACGTTTCCACCTCGGTATCAGATACTGTTGATCTGAATGAAGCCTGTGTGCCTCCACGATTCAGCCCACATGCTGGCCCAGTAGTAATAGAACCAGTAGAGGGGGACACAGTGCCACCAGAACCATGCATAGGGGCCTCAGCCTATCAGTAAACACAACATAACATATTCAAGCCATGAATTAGTGGCGTTATAATAATAATTTAGGTCTATTTATTATTATTATTATCATTATGTTTCATTAACAATTTCCATCACATTTATCAAAGTTTTTGTAAAATGAATAAGTCCAGTTAAAATGATTAAAGTATATATATTCAACTACATGCTTTTATATCTGAAAATGTTACTTATATGGAATTTCCTGGGTTTGATATTAGCCCCCTAAATTATTAAAATAGTATTACGCTTTTAAAAGTTTTTTATACATTTAAATACATAATTTATTTCCTCTATGTAAAATTTTAAGGATCATATTTTAAAATTCTCTCGGTTGGTCCATAATGTTGTACGGTTTTGAATAAATTACAGTAGAAAAACTATAAATTTCATTTTTCAATTTTTATTTAGCCTGTTTTAGAACTTGAAGCCGAAATAAGTAAGTTTTGATATTCTTTCATGAACCAAAAAAAAATATGCATACATATTTTAGTGAACATTGACTTAGCATCAGACATGTCATGCCCATCAATTGTTTTTATACTTACATCGGAATCAAACGATGTTAATTTACTGAGTAGCAAATTTTTCTTTTGGGTCAACATATCTTTAAACATTTCGGCGGTTGAATGTTGTTCTTTGTCTGAATCATCTCCTATTAGCCTTACTTCAGGAGGAGGTTCTAAAAAAAGTACTGAAATGATAAATTTGTTTATTTTAAAGTTATAAATGTGTACCTGAATGAGAAGATTTCCTAGAATTATCCCAATCAGATTGAATTGATAGCCTAGGACTTTGTGGTGATCTAGGACTGGAGCTCTATAAAAATAAATTTGATTTTATCAATCTAATTTTCTTCATCATCATTTTTTATAAAGATAAATTAAACCAAGTCAGGTTAAATATCAAATATAGAAGATGAAACATTAAAGCCTTTTAGCAGGGTTTAAAAGATATTGTTTAGATTAAGATTTAAGAGTTAAACAATTCAGAATCTTAGGATAGCATTAACGTAAAAATATCGACAAATTTTTGCAAAAAAATGCATCAAAAACATTATTAAAATAATTATTTACATCAAATTAAAGCATGTTTTACTGTACTTACGGTTGTAAAATCTGTATTACAGTCGGCCAGCTCTTTGCTCCAGTAATGTGTATGAGCAATTTCATGCAGCTGAAAAGCTGAGGCCATACCTCCCAAACCATAATTACCAAACGTTACTTCTAAACCATGAACTATTGCTTGTAATACTTTCAACATCCCCTTCCAGATTGGTTTTGCAATGCACTGCAAATAAACAGTTAAACTATATAATTAAATGTTAAAAGAACTGCATACCACATCGTCTATATGATCATCAGGTGCAATTTTCTTATCGAGGGTCTTATTAATTTTACTTAAAACAAAGTTTCTATACGACTCATCTTCCATTAACTTCTTTAGTCTGTTAAGCTTCAGCCACCCTACACCTTCACCATCCAAAACTTGGGTAATAACATCCTTAAGGAAACACTGATTCTCGCTATTGGTAGCGGACTTATCGATCGACTGCTTCCTGTGAAATTCTTCCTGTTTTTTGGGCGAGTGTCTGATCAAAGGACTCTTTTCAGCTAACCCTTTCGGTCCCCGTTGGAAAGGCCCAAACATGCTGGTGATTTTGTTTGCTTCTTGGGGTTTCTTTTGTTGGTGTTGTACGGGTGTGCCTTTAGCTGCTTCTTTTTTACCACCGAACATCCCTGAGAACATGCTCGTTGTGCTTGTGGCAAAACCATTTAGATCCGGAGTAAGATTGGAGAAGAAGTCTCGACTTGCTCCAGTAAATACGTTCGAGGATGTTGCTACTAGAGAAGTATTGCTACTTGTGGAATCTTTTCGGGCATCGCTAGGTCTTCCAAAGGAGTCAGCCTAAATACATAATCCATCCAAATTATAAATAAGAACATAATTATAATGATTTAAATAGTGTTTCTTACCCTTAATAGTCCCTTTTTGGTAACGACCTCCTTGGCACTCTTTGTGAGATCGTCAAATGTTGATTTTCCAACGTAAGTTAAATCTTCGAAAGTATTTTTGCTTACAGCCGTTGCTGTTTTGCTTGCTTCTTGAACGCTCTTAGTTGCTTCTCCTGCTGCCTTTTTGGCTTGTACAGTAAGCTGTAATGATTTACATGTTATAAAATGAAATAATTTGAGTTTTGTTTTTTTATTGTAAAATATTTAAATTAAAAGACAAAGTTTACATAAATATTTATAAAAGCTAATAATGTTTATGTTTGATGATATATATAGTGAATTTTATAAAGAAAACTTAAAAATACACAATATTTAATTAATAATAGACATAGAATAGCTAAATTAAAAAATAGTTTAAAAAGAAAAAAGTGATTTGTTTTTGTCTTGATAGCATTATTAAAATAATTAATTATTAATTGGATATAATATTTTTTTTTATAAAAAAAAATTGATTTAATGAAATTGATTTTGAACCATCCGAGATGGACCATTCCATAGATCTAGCATTTATGGTCTCGTAAGTAATATATCTAATGCAAAGACAAAATGCTTAAACAAAAACATGCAAATATGATTTGTTATATTTACGAACATTTAATTACCTACCAAAAACATTTATTGTGTAATAAATTTAAATTAAATTCTTAAACCTTAACTATTATATACTGTGATACCCCAGTATTTATTACTTTTATTGACAACAAGAAAGTATATTACTGCCGCTTTATTACGAGTATTGTATGCAACCCATTATACATTTTAAGATGTGTCTACTGCTCCTCAGCAGCAACTAAATAATATTTATAAAAAGCACCGTCGCGGAGGTCTATTGAACCCTTTCATAAAATGATGTTTAATAAAAATAATATGTTAATTTTATTAATTAAGGATGGTTCAATTAGAGAAAATTTGCGTAATTATAAGACTATTAAAATTAAATTTATAAAATTAATAAAAACAGCATTTATTAATAAATAAAAAAACGTCATAACTTTCTTATTCATGAAAATTTTGAAAAATAAACTTAACATACACATTAATCCATATTTTTATCCAATTTCTTTTCTACTATATTATAACTTTTTTCTAAAATCCCAGGAATAAAGAAGTTATAACCATTTTTGGTTTCGACAGTTTTTTAGTTTTTTTTTAATTATTTGTGAACCGCAGATTTTTTTTTCAATTTGTGAATACTATTTTAATAGAATTGTAATTATACAACTTCTTCCTATTTTAACCAACCTTGTAGTTTTTCAAACAAAAAGGATACTTGGTGCATTCTTTATATTATATTACAGTGTATAATGTATAGTATTAATACCAAAATAATCGCCTATTAAATATACATGTTTTTTAAATAGTTTTTTTTAAATTTTCTTATAGGTGTTTAAATTTTTTTAAATAAAATATATGTTTAATATTATTATTTATTTGTTTATTAATGGGTACTTGATTTTTATATTTATATTATTTTTTTATTTTTTCCATTATGGGTATTTTTGTATTTAAGGGTTGAAAACTTGTAAGACTATTAGATATATTAAATGTTCATAATATGGTAAATACTAAATTACATTAAATACAAACCTTGTCGAAAGGAGCAAAAATATGACTTTCCTCAGCTTCGGTAAGTTTTTCTTTTGCTTGCAATTTTAACTACAGAAAAATATTTACAAATGAAATATAGTTAAACAAATTTAAATTTATTAAAAAATTAATAAATCTCATACATATAAATAACTCAAATGCATAAAATTAAACATTTAAAGGGTGTAATTTTGTCAATTTTCTATTTATAATGTTATTATATTTTGTATGTTTAATTAGTTTTATGTGCAAATTATGTGTCAATTTTTATTAAAACATACACACACTTAAAGCACATTTATATGCATTTAGCAAATTTAGCAATTAGCAAAATGTTTAAAACAGGAAAAACTAAAAAAAAATGTTTACCTTATCCATATGGGCCAATAAGCCATCTTGGCTACTCTGTCTGGTGGTTTCTTTAACCAATTCCTTGGCTTGCGATGCGAATTGTTCGAATAAGGATCCTTGGCTGCTTTGACGTTGCACACTCCCGCCGGTAGAGGGCGATGGACTTCCTCCCGATGAAGAGCCAAAACTGGAAGTCCTTGCCAGAACATTTCCTATGCTTGGTTGCTTTTGAAGGATAGGAGTTATTGGTGGTACCTAAGAAAGAATAAATAAGTTAACGTTAGGTTATACTTCTTTTTAAATTTTGAATGTGATAGTGGATACAGTTCAATTTTGAATATAATATTATTATAAACAAACTGATAATATTAGTAAAATTATTTTTATTCACAAATTTGGCAAACTTTAAAAATCCAGTATCCACTAAAATGATATTACACTACTTATTAAATGAAATGAGTTTTACATGTTACAAAGCATAATAATAATAATAATAATAATAATAATAATAATAATAATAATAATAATTCAGTTTTATATAATAATTAAATAATTTTGGCACTACAAAAAGGGTTATAATATTATACAGAGAGCATAATGTGTGTATAATTCCATTGATATTGTTTTATTTGAAGAGCTTCAAGGATGGTTAATTTAGAGAAAATTTGAGTAATTATATGCGTAATTAAATTTATAAAATTGATAAAAACAACATTTTTTAATAAATAAAAAACGTCATAACTTTCTCATTCATGAAAATTTTGAAAAAGATACTTATAAACATTAATCTAAAAATGGCTCAAAATGTAATTATTAATAAGTATTGTAAAAATCGATTTTTTGCAAAAATATTTTGGGAAAGTTGTTTTTACTTCTAAACCGTTTGAAAACCGTATTAATCTAAACCACTCAATGTGTCGCGACCAAAAAGTTCATTCTTTTTCAAAACGACATAACTTTTGAGTCAATCCAAATGAAAACACCAAAAATGAATTTAAAAGTGCGCTGCATGATTTTTTATTGTAATGAAAAAATTTGAGGATGATCTTTTAGGTGTCAAATATGAAAATCCGTTGCCGTTTTAATTTTTTGTTGCTTTACTTTTATTTGGTACCCCTTAGAAGTCTGAAATAGTGTCAATTTCTTACTCTCTTATAGTGGGTCAGAACTTTTTTTCTGTGACAAATATTGAAATAATTTTAATTTTGTTTTACTGTTCAGTAAGTGTGTTTTCGATATAAATTATTATTATCCAATTAGTTAATCTCATAAAAGAATGGTAAACCACTACCACTATCTTTATAAAGATTCATGATAATTTGCCAATTTTTGTGATTTTTGTCTGGCTCCTGTGCCTATTCTACTGAATTTAGAAGGTTCATTTTTTTTCAGGTATAAAGTACTTATACAATAGAAAACGTAACTATTATTTTAAGTTTCTAGACTATCAATTTCTTTATTAAAAAAAATCATTGAAAATTGATAATTCTCAAAATTAGCCAATTTTGCCCTCAGAAATCATTATGTTGAGGAAAAAATAAAAATCTGAAACTTTCAGGAAATTTAGTCCCCACCTTCATCTTTTCAGTCCAGTTAGTCTTGTTTTGTTATTTTTATTCCTTTAAAAGATATATTAATTTTTTTAATGCCCGTTTAGTAGCGATATTGTTAGTTTTATTTATAATTTAAAACTTAGATGGCTTTGACTTTGTCAATTCATGTTTGGTAGAGAAATGTCAGATCTGTCAAAAATATTTCATAAATTTTATTTGTGTGTATTTAAATTTTGATTTCAAAAAGTTTGCAAGTTTGCAAGTGTAATAAATGACGGAGTGTTCGAGATTCATGAATTTAATCACAATTAAAAATGCAAGAACATATCATAATTTTGTACCTCTTTCTTATAGAAAATATTTAAGTTCTGAGAAGTTTTAAATTGTTAAAAATAAGCAAAAACCAAAAAATATTCTAAATAAACCCCTTTATTATAACATGTTTTATTTTAACCAGTTACCTAAAAACTAAAATTTAAAGAAGTATTTACAGATTGTGTAAATTTTTTCCAACAACAACATTTAAAATACATACATTTAACTTTTAACTATTTAGTGCCTTACTAAAGGGATCAAAATAATAGAACAAGACTAACTTGGTTTAAATTGTGAAAGAAACCGACAAAAAACGCATTTTTTATACGTTTAAATTAATTCTTTATTAATTTCACTTATTATACTTAACGATATAAACCATAAGGATCTTAAATATATTTTTTACATTCCTCTTCTTTAAACACCAATTACCCAATTAAATACTTCATTATAATGTATATAATATATAATCATATACATATATATATATATATATATATATATATATATATATATATATATGATTTTTCAATACATAAAATATAACATAACTACCAAAAATATCAGAACTCTCAAAAATATTTCATAATTATTATTTGTGGTATTCCTTTGGTGATTTTAAAAAGTTTTATATATAACATAATATTACATATTATGTTATATACAAAATTTACCAAAGAAATACGCACAAATAATATTTATGAAATATTTTTAAAAGTTCTGACACTTCTCCACCAAACAGGAAAGCCATCTAAATTTTAAATTATAAATAAAACTAACAATATCGCATCTAAACGGGCATTAAAAAAATTAATATATCTTTTAAAGGAATAAAAATAACAAAACAAGACCAACTGGACTGAAAAGATGAAGGTGGGGACTACATTTCCTGAAAGTTTCAGATTTTTATTTTTTCCTCAACATAATGATTTCTGAGGGCAAAATTGGCTAATTTTGAGAATTATCAATTTTCAATAATTTTTTTAATAAAGAAATTGATAGTCTAGAAACTTAAAATAATAGTTACGTTTTCTATTGTATAAGTACTTTATACCTGAAAAAAATGAAACTTCTAAATTCAGTAGAATAGGCACAGGAGCCATACAAAAATCACAAAAATTGGCAAATTATCATGAATCTTTAGTGGTTTACCATTCTTTTATGAGATTAACTAATTGGATAAAAATAATTTATATCGAAAACACACTTACTGGACAGTAAAACAAAATTAAAATTATTTCAATATTTGTCACAGAAAAAAAGTTCTGGCCCACTATAAGAGAGTAAGAAATTGACACTATTTCAGACTTCTAAGGGGTGCCAAATAAAAGTAAAGCAACAAAAAATTAAAACGGCAACGGATTTTCATATTTGACACCTAAAAGATCATCCTCAAATTTTTTCATCAAAATAAAAAATCACTCAGCGCACCCCATTTGGTGTTTTTATTTGGAATGACTCTTTTTTGTTTCTTGAACGATTTTATTTTGGTCTGTGATGTCTGCTAGCCTCATCCTCTGGCAATTCATGATATAGATATGAAGCTCATGGTTCGTCAATTAAATTTCCTACAGGGTGATATGTTAAACGGTGAAAAATTTCAATAACTTCATCCAAGCCCCGTTTGTAAAAAAAATATTTTTTTTCTCGTTTTTACTTTGAAATAATGAATTATTATGTGTTCCCTTGAAAGGTTGTTCAAGTTTTTCGAATTGGAATCTTAGCAACGACAATATGATTTTTTTTTTCGGATTTTATTTAGACATTTAACAGCCGGGAATTGTTTTAGAATTTTGATTCTTGGTGATTTTTTTTATCTGAAACTTAAATTTTACAACTGAATCACAATCAGGAGGTCAAAATTATAAAGAAAACATGTTACGAACGTAAATATCGGTTCAGGTTTAGTTTTCGCAAATTTTTACCAAAATGTCATTTTGAAAAAGTGGTATTTACTAAGGCCCCTTTGAATATAATGGAAGTTTGTTGCTTATCGCTTGTTCTGAATTATTTAAGGAACAATCTTTTACCATGTTATTTTCTTGTTCTTAAAAAGACTGAGTGTATTGCCTACCAAAAAGCCTTAAATGTACTCTTTTGTAAAAAAATCAGATTTTCGTTGCTAAGATTCCAATTCGAAAAATTTGAAAACCTTTTCAAGGTAAGACATAATTCTTCATTATTTCAAAGTAAAAACGAGAAAAAATATTTCTTTTTTCAAACGGGGCTTGGATGAAGTTATTGAAATTTTTCACCGTTTTACATATCACCCTGTAGGAAATTTACTTGAAGAACCGTGGGCTTAATATCTATAGCATGAATTGCCAGAGGATGGGGTTAGCAGGCATCACGGACCAAAATAAAATCGTTCAAGAAACAAAAAAGTTATGCCGTTTTGAAAAAGGACGAACTTTTTGGTCGCGAAACATTGAGTGGTGCGCAGTTTATGAAAAATATCAATATTTATGTGGCACTTAAAAAATTTTGAGCCAAATAATAATTTAAATACTTTCAGTATAAGCTTACAATTAAAACCTTGCATGGGAAGGACTAAATTTAAACAAAATAAAATTATATTTGTGGATAAAAATAAACTTAAATACAAGTTTTGCAGGGTGTGTTTATATTAGCAAAATATGATTTAATCTATTATTATATCAAACATTCAATTTTCTTAGTTTCTTTAAGAAACTTTCTTGACCCATCACTGGAAATATTCATAAGAAAAAAAAAAAAATAGTATGTACCGATTGCGGCAAGGGCCACGTCGTTAGACGGTGAGGATCACCAGATGTTCTTACATCTCGCCTCTGTTGACTTAACAGCCTAGCATATAAGCCCTGGGAGTGATTTGTTTTGATTGTGTTCCACTACACCAAGTTGCCCGACACTGATGAGACCCAATAAAGGTCGAAACAGCTGTCTGTCGGTATTTGAAGTTGGTGGAACGCATTCAAAACAAAAACTTTGGCGAGGTGTACGTTCAATTTTTTCTTATTATTATATCGTTTATAAATACATTATTTTATAAAAAAAATAATATTAAAAAATGTATATTAAAAGTGCATTTTATTTATATTTGCCAGTCCAGTGCTACTTTCTAATTTAGCATATGAAAAACTTTTTGATGATATGATTTACCTTGAATTGTTTAATTAACTTTAAACTCTAATTAATTTTTTATTTAATATATACTATATTAAATTTTTTTATTTTCGATTGTATATTGCAATAAAAACAATTTTGTTTTTAATGCATGTGTTAGACAAATCAATTGATTTCTAAAGTTATTATTTAAGCAACTGTACCTTTTTTATTATTTTGTTTCCTTTATTTGGTACATAGTATTAAATATAACAATAATAATACAATTAAATGAGAAAATTTGTTTGTTTCCCTGCTTGTCTTTCTTCCACACAGCTACGCATCCGGGGATTTTTTTCAGAGGTATACTCTTAGTTTAGGTTACTTTTATTTCGTTTCCTGTGGAATAGGTAATTATAAATTCAAATTATAAGTTATAATTAATCCCGGCGCATTCGCCATTTTTTAAGCATTTAACGAAAAAATGCAGGGTTCCTGTGGGATACTTATAATTCTGGAATTTCATTCTCACTAAAACGACTGAACGGATTTACATGAAATATAAATTTTCTAGGTCCTGATATGACATCTAGTATACAGGGTGGTCCAGGATTAATCTGAAAAATTTTAATGATCGATAGAGCCTGAAAAAACAATAAAAACAAACCCAAAAACATTTTTTTTAAATACATACTAACGGAGATATAGTCCTTTAAAATAATTTTTAAACCATTAAACCGATTCTTTTAAGCTTCCGTCGATAATATAATGACAATTTCCTACAAAAGGTCCAGTGGCGAAGATTTTGGGGAGATTTCCCTTTTTACCCTCATATTTTCGACGCCACTGGATTTTATTAGAAAATCATCAGATTTATTTTTATCCCTTTTCAATGTAAAAGCAAAACTTTTATGTTATTTTTTTATCAGATCAGTGGTTTCGAAAATATTTCAGTTTAAAATTTCAAAAACACTGTGTACACGGAACTTTTGTTATTAATTTAGTAATAAAAAATGATTTTTTTTCTGAACGTTTGTTTGGTCAATAAAAATTTACCAGTGGAATAATGGAATAATCGCTTTCAATAGGGTGGTTTTTGGGTTGGTGTCGAAATATGGGGGTAAAAAGGGGAAACCCCCCAAAATCTCCGCCGCTGGGCCTTTTGTAAAAAACTTTACCCACACAAAATTTGAGCATAATCGGTTTAATGGTTTAAAAGTTATTTTTAAAAAAACGTTTTTTTTGCCTTTGAAGGGCTATTAGTGTGTTAGTGTGTATTTTTAACAACTGTTTTTGGTTTTGTTTTTATTGTTTTTTTAGACTCTATCGATTATTAAAATTTTTCAGATTAATCCTGGACCACCCTGTATTGCATAACGATAGCAGAAAGGCAATTAATGTAACCGGTGTAAAGTTTATACAAAACAAAAAATACCATTAGTTAAAAAACTTTAAATTTGTTTGGGTTAATAAACAAATGTTGTTGTCAGAGTTCTTTTGATTTGGATACATTTTCTTTAAATGTGTTGTCCTATAGAAATATAAATGTATGATTTATATTTTTGTGTTTTTTTTTCTGACAAAAAATATAGAAAAATAACTAAATGAAAAAATTTAATATAAAAAAAGTCTATGCTTGAATAAGAAATCGACTAATTTGTCCAACACGAGTAGATAGAGTTTGAAATAGGAAAAACTTTTGTATTTTTAAGTTTAATAATAATAATATTAATATATTAATATATTAATATTGCAAACAAATTTAGGAATTTTTTTAATAAAAAAAAATAATATAATTATGTTTGCCCTTGTCAAGAAGTAAGTTTTTCGTGCTAAGCCCACGGCCTAAGTTAACTTTAAGTTAATTGAAAAAAATGATTGACAGTTGTCAATTGTTAGATTAAATATCAAGTAAATAAAGTTAAATAAAATATTTTGTGAGACTATAGGTGAAAAGATTCTATATGCGAACTCCACGTTCGAGAAATATATTTTCTTTCACTATTAGCATAATATTGTTAAATGACACAAAACTTACAATTGAAGGGGTAAGAAGCAAAAATGTACAAGTGCATTAAGTTAAGTGCAGAATTGGGTAGTTTAGAGTAAAAATTTTCTCATATCGAGTTCTGCATGTTAATAAATGCAAACATTGGAACAAGTATCCAGATTTTTGTATATAGCAAAAACTTTAAAAGTTAATAACTCCACTTTTTTGCTCTTGTACCCCTTTGCTTCTTAAGTGAGGTTAGGTAGATCTGGCAGAAATTAAATTTTTGGATTGATCCAAAATAGTAAGTAATGAATTTTTGGTTTTTGGATTCTAAAAAACCTTATCCGATTGGTCTTAATCATTCTTAAGTAAGTTTTTTGTGCTACGCGTTGGCATACAACTGAGTGAAGTACGAAATGCATTTAAAATTTTATCTTCAAGGCACAATTTTATTTGGAAAACGTACATCCATATAAATAATAAATATTATAATATTACTAAAAGTATATAGTTTTAAAGATATGATAGATATAAAATTTTTCGATTGGTCTTAAAAGTTTTTTACAGTCTAGAGGATAAGACCGCTTGAAAAAACAATATTTTAATTTTATGATATCATTAAGTATACTACACTCACGTGCAAAATAATCGATCCACAAAAATTTTCAATGGATTTCAATCGCAAATACCTTTTTTAATTGATGTCGGATTTAAACGAATATTAAAGAATATTGTAGATAAATTAATGGACAATCGCTCACATTTTAAAAAATACTAAAAAATGTACGTACGTTTATAATATACAGGTTTAAACAAAAAGATGTTTTTTACCATAAGTTTAAGACACTCTGTAGAGTGGCAAAACCGTATATTGTTCTAAATTAAGTTTTAACTATCAAGTCACATCTATTCTTACAGTATTGTTTTTGGTTCACATCGATATATTTATTTTTGTGGAAAATATGGATTTTTTAAAAAAACATTGCCATTTCCAATATTTTTCTGTATGAAGAACTAAGGTTGCTATGGTCCATCCATAGCCTATGGAGGATGACAGTGACAGTTTTGTTGAATCATCCCATACTTGGACATGTCATACCCGGCTTTCAAAAGCTATCAAATTGTTTTTTGCAAATTAATGTTTAAATTTTGAGGTGTCTTCTTACTTTATAAAATGGATATGTCTCCGACTGATGTTGCCAGAGCTATTAATTTAATCCAGTATTACGTGGCAAGTGTTTTAAACGTCACAAGAAGTAAAGTACAGTCGGAGACATTTTTAAAAGTAAGAAGACACCTCAAAATTAACACATTAATTTACAAAAAACATATTGATAGCTTTTGAAAGCTGTATATGACCTGTCCAAGTATGGGATGATTCAACAAAACTGTCACTGTCATTCTCCATAGGCTATGGATGGACCATAGCAACCTTATTTCTTCATACAGGAAAAATATTGGAAATTGCAATGTTTTAAAAAAAAAACATATTTTCCACAAAAATAAATATATCGAGGTGAACCAAAAACAAAACTGTTAATAATAGGTGTGACTTGATAAATAAAACTTAATTTAGAACAATATACGGTTTTGCCACTCTACAGAGTGTCTTAAACTTATGGTAAAAAAATCTTTTTGTTTAAACCTGTATATTATAAACGTACGTACATTTTTTAGTATTTTTTAAAATGTGAGCGATTGTCCATTAATTTATCTACAATATTCTTTAATATTCGTTTAAATCCGACATCAATTAAAAAAGTTATTTGGGATAAAAATTCATCGAAAATTTGTGTGGATCGATTATTTTGCACGTGAGTGTAGTAATTTTGTAATAAAAATTTTTTATTTTTAAAATCCTTATTTGAGCATTATTGTATTTTGTATTGTACTTTGAGCATGATTGTATTTTTTTCCTTTAGTTTAACAGCTAAGATTTTCCCGGAATGCCACTGAAATATTTTAATTACATCAAAGACTAAACATTATTTGAATTAGTAAAATTTCTTGATATTAGAAAACCATGTTTACAAAAAAAATTTAATACGAAGATGATTTTTTACTTTTATAAAAATAATCGCATTCTTGTTGATAACATGTAATTGCAGATAATAATCTAATAAAAAAGTGTTTTCTATTCTTAACTCCATACATCGTATACTAAATTTGATATTTTACTGCCCTTAAATAAAATTTAATTAAAATATTGAATTTTTAAAGAAAACAGTGCAAATTACCGGTGTAATGGATCTTCTACTCTTTCTAGGTGTTGTTGGTCTATCCTGTGATTCACTATTGGTACTACTTGCTGATTCAGTCTTAACGGTGTTCATGCTTACAGTGGTTTTGGGTGTCATGGTGGAATTCGAGTCGGATTCGTTCTCACAACTGCCGCTCTCCTCCTTGTCGGTTTTGGGGGTGGATCTGACCGTCTCAGATTTATTTTTGCTGTTGTACTCGATCTCCGAGTCGCGGTTAAACGAGGGTGAGCTTAGATCTGAGTCGCTGCTGGATGACGAATGTGGTGATTCAGTTCTAAAACAGTTTTGGTATTAATTTTTTAAAACAGGTCAATATTTACAGTGGGTTGTTTCATTTTAGGTTTGTATTTTACCTGTTTACAGGCACTTCTCCCTCAGGGTAGTGCAGTTCATGCGGTGGCTTGTAAATATTTTCCACATCGACATTCGAAGACATGGACATATTTCTTGCCGAGGCTTTTCGTTGATCGTGATAGGACATGCAACTCGGCGACAAATCCGACGATTGCATCTCAGAAACAAAATCGCTCAGAGACGAATAACTCGAACTCGTGCTGCCCACCTCTTCAGAATCCGATCCACTCTCATCCGTAGGTTGATTTTCCTGCGTTTGAAGACACCGCAAAGCTCCGTTCAAGGAACTCCCATCGTCCCACACCACGAATTTTATTGCTTCAAGGTTGTGCAGATACCATTTGGGCTTGTCGCCCACCAAAGTTGGATCCAGCACCCCGGTGTGTACTCTTTGAAAGGCCACGTTTGTCGGCGTTAGCGACCATTCGGCCAAGAACTCCACTGCTTGCGTTCTGGCGAAACGGTTTAAAAATTGCGATGCTCTCGGGCGAGATCGCAGAAAGCTGTTGATTTGAAAAGCCACTACTGGACGGGGGTATAGTCTAAGAGTTCGGGTGTGCTCTGAGAAATTGGCTAGGAGATTTTGAGAGTTGAAAAAACGAACCTAAGATAAAGATAAATTAAATTAGTAAACTTAGATTTAAATATTTTATCCAAATAAATTATATACAATTAATATATGTTAAGTGATAAGAAATAGTTAAGAAACAAGTGTCAGCTTCTGGGCGGTCCTACCATCTGCCATTGGACGCTTTTCACTAGACAAACAAAAGAGGTCAAACAAGAGGGAAGAGGTCAAACAAGAGGGGAAGAGGCCATCCGCAAAAAATTGATAAGTATCCTCAACCATATGCATGACCTAACACATGATTTGCAAACTTAAACACGACAGATACCTTTAAAACCCTAAGAGAGGCACACTGCGTAAACTCTAGAAAAAAACAATAATCATCAGTAACAATAGAAACATTAGAAAGACAATACTAACCAAACACCATCAAATAATAAAGAAAAAAGACAAACAACAAAAAAAAACCAAAACTTCCCATTCGGCCCGCGGTCATACACCAAAGCTAAGTAGGACAATAAATCTGTCCACAACAAATGCGTAAGGCATGAAACCCAGTAAGTTAAGGAACGGCACCAACAAAACAAAGTTTAATTTTAACCCACACGAGACCAATATTAAACATTTGACACTCAAAACATAAACTAACACTCAATAAATTAAGATTACCCAAACATAGTAAAAACAGCATACTAATCAAACTCTAATGGATTTTGTAAACACATAAGATTATATAGTATAACAGAATAATTGCGCTTGCAATTTGTTTAACTAATAAATAAATGCAATACTTAATTTCGAAAATTAAGAAAAAAATGTATAATGTTTATCATTATTAACGGAAAAAACTCAATAATATACAATAACAGTAGACTGATCTTGTTTTATCTAATCTTTCCTGAGTTGAAGAGATCGGGGCAATCACATGCGAAGGGGTAAGAAGCAAAAGGGTACGTGCAAAAAAGAGAAGTGGAGTTATTTACTTTTAAAGTTCTTGATATTTACAAAAATCTGAATACTTGTTTCAAAATTCTTGTTTGCATTTATCAACATGCAGAACTTTTACAATTTAAACGTTATAAGATCATTTTTTTTTAAATTTGGACTCTGAACTACCCAATTCTACTCTTAATTTATGTTTATGCTAAAATGCACTTGTACCCTTTTGCTTCTTGTCCCATTTATATTAAAACTAGCAAATTTGAATACTACATTCATGAAAAGAATAGGCTCAAACTATGTAACCTAATAAAAGATAGTGCTACAACATAATTTTTATTTTTAAAATTATACTTTTTTATTGTATCTCGTTGAAAGTAAAATTTTAGCAGGCAACGTAAGTTGCATGCGCACAGCTAACGAAAATTCGACATTATGAAGTTGGCCACAAATGTTTACAAGATGAGTAACGTCACAGAAAACTAATATGACTGAGGGTGGGGCGCCTAAACGTAAAGGGGATCATATTTTCTTGTGCGCTTGGCGTAAGAAATTGGTGGCTGTGCATAAGTAGGAGAAATGGAAATAAACAGCCAATTTACTTACGGTAGCCCAAACTAACAATGTTTTTTATTGGTATCTCATTCAATTTTAAAACCAAAAACAGCCATTAAAAAACTGTCAAAATATGTTTCGATTGCTTTTCCGAAAATAAAACTCGGTAAAGGTAACAATTTAAAAAATATAAATAAAAATAATGAATCTAGGAAAAAATACCCCTGGAAAAAAAACCATGGAAAAAAAACCCCCGGAAAAAAAAACCCATTAAAAAAAACCCCTAGGAAAAAAAAACCTTGGAAAAAAAACCCAAGGAAAAAAAGCCAGAAAATAAATCCCGGTTTGACAAGTGTCACATAAAAAATGCAAAAATTGTAAAAATACCGCAAAAATGAGCGAAACCAACCTAAATCAACCCAAACTCAACAACACAACCCTACCGACCCATTGAGTAAAAATCCCCGAAATTGGCAAAAATAAAAAAAAATTGCAAAAATCAATGCCCAAAAATGCTAAAAATTGTAAAAAAAATTGTAAAAAAATTCTAAAAAAGTTAAAAAAAAAATTTAAAAAAATTGTTAAAAAATTCCGAAAAAAATTGTAAGGGGTTATTTTATCCTGAAGGTTTATTTTCCTAGAGGTATATTTTCCTGGGTTTTTTTTCCTGAGGTAATTTTTCCAGGATTTTATTTCCAAGGGCTTCTTTTCCGTTTACCAAAAATAATATACCAACCATTGCAATTCTTGTAGCAACATCGACCGAATCCACATCATTGCCATATATAAAAGGATTATATCCAACTTGATTGGCTGGTATCATCGTTGTTCTTGGTGGTACGGGTGACTGTGGCGATAAAGGCAATTTTGGTGATGCATTTGGGGTTGCTTGGACATCCGGCAAACCTTGTCTGTTAATGCTAAACAGATCAAATTTAATAAATACCATTTATACTCGCATTTTAATAATTTACTTTAAAGTATTTCCAGACGATATACTTTCCCTTCTTGAAGGCTGAAGGTGGGATGTTGAATTTGACGGCGTTTCTAGATTGTTGATTGCCTGTTTGGGGAAAAATATATTGTACTGCAAGTAGAATACTATTTTGAGTGTTTACTACTCTACTCTTTAACTACTTTGGCAACTCGATTTTGTCTAAAAGGGTAAGGATAAGTTTCTAAAATTATATTTGGCTCACACTCTTATGCTATAAAAGATTTTTAAAACAAGAAACATAAATAATGTACCATCCCAAAATTTTATAATTTTTGATTTTTGTTTCTCAATGAAAGATTTTTGTTTCTTAATAAAATTGTTCTACCACTTTTGCAAAACTAAAAGTAAAAAGTAAAAGTAAAGAAAACAAATTGAGGCAATACTTTTAACGAGAAGTAGTTTTTGAGATATAAAACTAGACAAAGCTGTATATTTTCCAAGCCGGTAAATGCAATATTTAAAAACAGTTGTTATGAAAACAAATCAAATGAAGCATCTGCTGCTGACTGAAATAAACTTGGTTAACAGATTTATTTCCTGGCAGTTTGTTTTAAAAAAGTTTTAACTTTAAATTATCAAAACCTTAATAAAAAATTGTTTTTATACTTGTATAATATTATTCTCAACCCTTATAACTTAAAAACTACTCGTCGAAATTAATCCCTTAAGTTTAAATAAGCATTTATGCATATTATATCTATTTTAATACAGGGTGTTATGTAATTAATGTTATATATTAAAATGAGTTGTTCCTTAGGGTCCATAAAGAAGCACCTAAAACTTTTTTTTTTCTAAATTCCAAAGACTAAAAATAATTTATAATAACTATAAAAAGTACGCCACTGATCGACTAAGAAATTTCGGATAATCAATTTAATGTATTATGTTATGGTTGGTAACCCTGGTTAGTAACAACAGCGTTTCCAAATTTTGTCAAAAAAGTTGACAAACATTGTTTAAATTTAGCTTAATTACAAAAATGACAAAATTAACAATGCAAATTGTCAATTTGGCGTTTTTATTAATTGTTGGTTATGTCATTTTTGTACTAAAGGTAAATTCAAACAAAATCTGCCAACTTTTATGACAGAATCTAGTTCATTTCTTTCAAATTTTAGGTTATGTGCTCAAATTGTAAATATCTTAAGTGCTTTTGGATTTATTTACACAAATTAAATGTTTAAAGTTTAACCTGTGAACTGGTCCCATTTTCATCTGAGTAAAAAGAAAGAAAAAAACCGATGAAAAAAATAATTTTGTGGTTATGGATTTTTTAAAATAGGTACTAAATTTTCTAATCATTGCTTAAGCTAATAGCTGGATGAGTAAATAAATACAGAAGGGTATTAGAGCTTTAAGGGCATAAAACTTTTGTATTTATTGAGTTTTTACTTATTTTTTGCAAGAAAAATTTTTAGTAACAATTTTTTACAACTGGCAACGCGCAGCTACTTTGTTGGTTGGTATCTATGTACTCACAGAACACAAGTGTGCAGAGATAAACCAAGTTTGTAACCAGTGGCGTATCACAAAAAGTATAAAAAACTTCTAATGCATATTTTTTCTTTATCTTTGAAAACATATTTTTTTAAATATTTTTCCTTTACTCCTTATATCAAAAGGTATTCAGTATTTTAATATATAAAATTAATTACATAACACCCTGTATGTAAACATTATTTTCTTTTATATTGTTATAGTGAATTGTCATGCCACTCAATATTAAAAACTTATTTTAATTTATAAGAAAACTAATAATATACAAATTAAAAATGATAGAATTTGGTTGTGGAATTTTATTTTCGTTCCTTGATTTAGTTCAAATATATATTACTAAAAGTTCATGCAGTGGGTATTATTGTCACATGCTATAGCATTTTTTAACAAAGTGTATAAAATATCTGTATATAAATTAAATTATATTTTTAATGCTAAGAAGCTACTAAGGATAAATTGTTTTTTTCTTAAAATTTAGATTATAAATACGTACTACTTAAACTATGGACTAAATATAAAAATTTCATGTATCCCAACTACCACTTTAGTCCTTGGACTTTGATTAAAAAAATATCTAGTTATTAAAAGACAATCCAAATTTTAAGAAAGCAGAAATTTGAATTCATGCTGGTGCAAATAAATGAAACAATATTTACGCCGGTGCCAATTTCGTCCATTATTTGCATCGCCTTAAGTAAATATTAGAAAATTTAGAAAAAATATTCCAATAATTTTTGTTAATTTAAACATATTTAATTTTATAGTACAAGAAAAACATAAAACGTGGAAAAATCAAATTGTGTTAAATTTATAAAAAACTTATTTAAGTATTAAGTATAACAGTTTACGTACTTGTTTTAAATGGTTTTTTAGAATGGTTCCTTCCGGTTCCGGTAAAGGCGGTACTTCTTGTGGTGAAATAAGTTTTGTAGAGTCTAGATCTACTAACCATACATCATCTGGCAATCTAAAAAATTAAATGTATTAAATAAAAAATCATGTTTTAATTTTAATTCAAAACTTACTTAAAACCCTTTTTGTACATTAAAAAACTAGCCGGTAATCCAATCACAAAAGGAGTTGGGGCTAAAAGCAACTACAAAAACAATTATAAATATTTATAATTTAGATAACACTTTACATCAATGATTCTAAACTTTTTTGTGAACTAGTTTTGTTTAGTTTAAGACTAGATCGTCTTATTTTAACACTTTTAATGTTAAATTGATTGTTTTAAAGACTTTTTAAAGTTTCTTTTCATTTCATTTAAAAAAAATTGAAAATTATTGGAGTTTAAAAAAAAATTAACCTGCTTTTTAAATCGATTAAAAATTTCAATTTTTATTTTTTTTAGAAAATAGTTGTTTTTATTAAAAGAGACGAAAAATAAAATTCACTAAAACTGTGATGTATATAAAAAGGCACCCTAGGTTATTTGAAAAGAATATTTACTCTAATGAAATTATTTCAACTAACTTACTTGTTCAGCACAATTCATGCAAGTCGGTAGTAAGGGGATCACAGGAAACATATATTCTAAAGGATAAATCATCGACACGAATGCCATAACCGACATGGAAAGGGCGTTGTAGTCTCTGGATTGAAAAACAACTTTGTTTTCCAGAAGGATGATTGTAAGAACTTTTAGACACATTTCAACACCTATAAGAATTCAAATGGTAAGTTTAATGGTTTAAATAACAAAACAAACATATTACCTAACAATTCTAATGGTAAATGTAATGGAAAATCAACCAAACAAAATCTTGTGTGACTTGGTAATGCAAATATTAATGGATCGTAGACGCTTGGTGATAACACTTCAACTTCCACCCTAAAAATATTTTTATAAATTTATATGGTACAATAAAGTAAAACTAAATATGATCCGAATGAGACCTTAGACGTTTTTTTTAGTATTTTCAAGTATCAAAAACTGTTAACTGTATTTTCTGATTTTAAATCAAAATGCAATTAACGTTTTTTTAGTTTGGACGGTGCACAGTGGTCTTCTCCAAATTTTGTCAATAGTGGTTTTTGGGGTCGTTAATTACAAAAATAACACCGAAAATTCAAAATTACCTTGGACTATATACAAAGTCAAAGTAAACGAAGTATACTTGTATGTATAATATATACGAGGTGTGTTCAGAAAATAACGGGAATTGTTCAATTTCGCGGGTTCGGAGGGTCCGGTTGTCATTTTTATGTTGGTGTACATGCCCCCGAAGTATGATAAAAACTTTAGCTGTTTTCATTGTTTACTTTGTCTATGGAAGCCGTGACGTGTTTTATGAGCTCGGCGATTTTTGGTTCGTTAAAAGAAATGGATCAAAGAATTTGTATCCAATTTTGCTTAAAAAATGAAATAAATTTTGTGAAATGTTAACAAAGGCCTATAGTGAGTCTGCTATAAGTAAAACAAGAGTTTACAAGTGGTATAAGAGTTTCCAAGATGGTCTTCACGACGTTGAAGATGACGAACGCCTCGAACGCACAAGCACATTAACAACCGATAAAAACATGGAAAAAGTGGAAGAAATGGTTATAAACCATCAGAGAAGTCGCTGATGATGTTGGTATATCGATTGGCTCATCCCATGAAACTTTTTCGAATGTTTTGGGTATGAAACGCGTGGCAGCAAAATTTGTTCTAAAATTGTTAAATTTAGAACAAAATTTTTGGCCAAAAACAATACTGTAATGATGCCCCAGCCTCCATATTCGCCAGACATGCCTCTGTCTGACTTTTTCCTATTCCCAAAAATAAAGAGAAGCTTAAAGGACCGTCGTTTTGCAAGCATAGATGACATTAAAAGCGCATCGCGGAAAGAACTAAGGGCTATCCCAAAGATCGAGTTTTAGAAGTGTTTCGAGTATTGGAAGAAGAGCTGACACATATGCATAATATCCAATGGGGACTATTTTGAAGGTGACAATATTAATGTAGACGAATAAATAAATATTTGTTTCAAAAAACGAAAATTCCCGATATTTTTTGAACAAACCTCGTATGTTGCTTATTTAACACACTTTATAAAAAAAACTTTTTATTATGATCACATGGCAATACCATACTTAATTGAATTATTAAATCTCAACAATATTTACTTACTTCGTTTTTCCAGGTATTGGAACTGGAGAAGATAAAAGTCGAAGTATCCATGTTTCTATCTCTTTAACATCGTGAAGTACAATCGATGAAGGTCCATCTCCAGAATGTCCAGTAAGGACACTCCATACTGTATCCCTATAAGAAAAACTCACCATCATCCAAAAACTATTAACAAAAAACTGAAGGGGTGATTTTGGAACACCATTTAAAAAGTATATATACTCGATCTAAAAAGCTTCTTTTTTATATACAGGATAGGATAGAATAATTTAAAATCAAAATAATAATATAAATAAATAAATAAATATTTTTTGTTAGAACTTAAGTGCTTGTAAAAATGTTTCCATCAAAAAGGAAAACGCGATAATGGTGCTAAACAATTGGTTGAACTAAGACAATAAAGTCCATTTCTAAAAGTACAACATAAAATGTAATCATTGTACGTGGGAAAATGCAATATTGTTATTTTTAAGATGTCTGGTTTTGGTGTCGCTAAAAAAAATATAATTTCGTACCTAGACGATTGTTTCGATCCTCCCACTCTCCTCGGATGCGATGATTCATTGCAGGCGTCAATTAACTTTTTCAGGATAAACAAACATTCCCGAAACATTGTGAAAAAGGGATGGTGAGACAGTAAACACAATGACGTCAACGAGTGGTTCCTTATCCTCTGCAACATTATTTTAGTGTTTATTTTCATTCCTTTTTTTATATGTATTTTATATAATGAAAGTAAATTATCTTTTAAGATTTTGATTATAACTAAAAGAACGTCAATTTAAACTAAGTATGTAAATTGCAAAATTATTTGTAACTTTCTAAACTGGGTGTTGCAAAAAAATGCGCTAATGCTCAACTGTAGATTCCTCATCCAAAAATAAAAAAGTTTTTATTAATGTATTTCTTGAAATGCTGGAAACACACTGTATAATATATTTTTAAATAATACAAAGATCAGACAATCAATATTTGAAAAATTTTAAAACAATTTATTTTATTTTATTTAAAATTGCTCTAAATTATTATTTTTATATTAAGCAAAAACATGTCTGTGTTTTAATTTAATTGAAGACCTTTATGGAAAAACGCACATAAATGAAACCATTAAATTGTATTTTTTTCTTTTTTAATAATTTACATGTAGACGTATTTTAAAAACAATATTTGTAAAAAGCATGTATTTATGTATACCTAAATAAATGGTTAATTTGGTTAACAATTGTGTTTTAATGTTATACAGGGTGTCCTTTGTTATCTTATTCCTTAAAAAAATCTAAGAAGGTTTTTCCTTCATCAATTTTTAAAATCAGGCACTTTTAACTAAGAAGTTTTAAATGAGCCCATACACCTTTATAAATCAAGTCCTTTCACAGGGGTCACATAAAAATGACTCCAAAAACTGAATGCGCTATCGGAATAAGGACTCTCTCTACAGTTTAAAAACATGTTTTTCAAAATTGTACGTGATCCTTTTTTTAATTTTTGAAATTAATTCAAATACCAACTATAATTTAGTGCCTTATTTGAGATTTTTTTCGAATTTTTTTAAAACTGAGCCCTTTAGAAAAAATTTCACAAAAAAAGAATAACAGAAAATGGTTTATCTTTTATTTTAGGTATTCGCTTACGCAATAATACTACTATCATTTGCTTACATTAAATTTCCAACAATTGTTGGAGTTAATAAAGAAATCTAGTTAGCCATGCAACACTTTTGCCTACGTATTTTGTAACGGACTAGTAAAACTTCTGGAAAAAGAACAGGCGATGAGATATCCTAAAACACTGAATTTGTTATCTAAGAACTACCAAGGTGACATATTTGATAGAAACGCATGTTAAATGCTTCTGAAACATCCTCTTCTAAAAAAAATAAGTTGAGAATTTTTCCATTAAAATGACAAATTTCGACTAAATAAAAATTCACAAACAAACATTAGTGATGTGTATTATGTTTAAAGCTGCTGATATATCTGAAACTTTAATAATTCATGTACTAATTAATCACTTGGAAGAATGTCCATCGCGAGTATATAAAATTTTTTGAGTAAATACAAGATAAACAACATGGCACATCCTAACTTCAAAGAGTCATTAAAAAGAGCAGTTGTACAGTTTTTATCTAAAATTATGTAAGGCTTTTTCTCATGTTAATAAATAACATTTGAAAATTATTATTTGAAAAATTAATAAATAATATTTGAAAAGTTCTTACTTGTCTTTTTTGTTTTATATAGGTTATATTTCTTTAAAGAAAAATGATGCTGCAATGTTGAAAGTAACATATGTCAGGTTATTCACAAACAAACGTAACATACCCAGTTAAACATAAAAAATTCACGACTACGTCCATGGATTTCGTAAGCCAATAGTTTAGGCATAATTAATTTAAGCAGGATTTAATAGATAATTAAGTCACCTTTATTTCCCTATTCAAAATTTTTTTCCAAAGGCCTCCGTTTTAAAGATAATAGTAAACACCTAAAATAAATCACCAAGTAACGTTTGATATTTGGATTATTAGGCAAAACTTCAAAAAAGGAACAGCTAACATTTTGAAAAACATATTTTTAAACTTCAGAGGACATCTTTATTCCAATACTGCAGTCAGTTTTTGGCGTCATTTTTTTGTGACCTATGACTCGTTCAGGACCACTGCCTTAAAGAAGCCTATTTTTAACGAAATAAAATTTTTTGTAAAAATTAGACAATTTTAAAGTACTGTAACGCGAACAATTGTTGGCCATTTATAAATAAATTTAAAAAATTGTGTTGCTTTAATTGCTTTAATTATAATTATCTACTATATTGTATTAAAATCAAAGCAACCAAATAAAATTTGGAAAAATAGCACTTAAAACAACCACGCGGGGCATTTTCAATTTTAATAAAATTATAAAGTAATAACTTTTAGGCAGAATTAAACGGCAATAGAAATATTTTTTTTATAAATTATTTTTAGGTTATAAACATTTGATTGGTTTACTAGAAAAATCCAATTTGCGAAATAACAGAACCATTAAACATCATTTACAGCTATTAAAAATATTAATAAAATATGCAAATTTCACACTGCTAAATGGATAGACACAATCTTGTTTCAAAAAGCATTTTTACATATTTTAAGAAAACTTTATTTACCTGTCTTTTCCGACTGGCTCTTGGCGATGGAGATAAGCTTCCTCCGCTTTCCGAATCGTTTGATGCTCCGATAACTCCAAGACGCGGTGCGGGCAGCATGTGCAAACCGGCCGTTTCAGAGTCCCTTCTGCTTGGACAGTCTTTCTCCGAATCGCTCGGCCCCACGTTGCTGCTTCTATAGTCGCTGGAAAAATTAATTCTGTTCAAGAAGAAAATACATGATAAAATACAAATATAAACCAATGTTATTTATAAAATTAATTTATTTGCATACAGAGCGCACGTTAAAAGTCCCCCAAGTTATATTTTGAAGTAAAAAAGGTATCGAAATCGGACGAGAACGATTGTCAATGATATTAAGTATACTACTTTTTGACGTAAAATTAATAGATGCCTATTTAAGGAGTGCCAATACACTGTTATAAAAATCAGATTTAACATGAGTTTGTGGTTTGTTAATTTTATTTTGTAAAATTTTAACATAATTTTTTGTAGAAAACAAGTGTTACTATTCATTTTGTAAGCATTTTGTTAATTTTAAAGGTTACAGATTATTTTGTTTATGCTTAACAAATTATTTCGTTAAATAATTACATGAATTCAGGCAGTCAATCAAAACATTTCCCATTTAGAATACGCATTAACAAGTTTAACTAACTGTATGGTTCTGTACACAAACGAAATTATGATTCCTCGTCTTTATATAGGTTTTGGAATCATTAACTGCGGTGAGACGAAAGTAAGTGGTGCCATCTACCGTCTTTTGACATGTTCTTTATGTTATATTCTTAAGACGGTAGATGACACCATTTACTTTCGCCTCACCGCAGGGAATGATTTCAAAACCTTTATAAGGACGAGAAATCATAATTTCGTTTTTTGTTATTAAATCTACAAAATGTTTATTTTATATAATTACAAAATACTTCAATTCAATTAGTTAACAGATTACAGTTGGTTGTAAACTTTAAATAAAGTTATGTGGACCTGGATTAACATACAATCTAGTTAACATTTGGTTAAAATTAACAAATATTTTTTTACTGTGTAGGGCACTATCAACTTAAAAATTTCAAATGTAAAGGAGAACTAGTAATACCTGATTTAAAAGGTATTTTAATTCTCTATTTAAAATTTTGAAAATCCGTTTAAGGGTTATTAAGCATTTGAGTTTAATAAACTAATACATTTTTTTGCCGCCCTAGGCAGCTACCGTAGATCCGGCCCTGACGGGAGTAAATATAAGTTTGCTTTTAAGTAGGTCTATTTTTTGTTTTTTTTACGATAGGATAAGAGCAAATCAGGTGAAATGTTGGAATTCCTCGGGGCAATCAGACGATAAACATAATTTCTGTTAAAGAGAGGTAGAGACAGTTTTCACCCCATTTGCAGAGATGTTCGGAGCAAAAAGAAGAACATATTTGGACGGGCCGCAGCCAACTTAAGACGTGGTTTGACTTTTAACCTTTTAACTAATTTAATTTGTGTTTAATATCACAGTCAATTGTAAATAACCAATCATACCATCATTGCTGATTATTTCCCTACATGTATCACAATTTAATTTTTTTGTTGCAATTTTTTGTTTAGTACAATTTTAATGGCACTGTATCGTCAAAATGTACGTTACTGTTCAGATGTTAATCCACACTTTTTGTCAAGGTCATACCCAGTACCCACAAAAAGTCAATGTGTTTGGGCGTGACAATTGGGAAACCACATTGTAGGACCCATCTTTTTGGAAGGAAATTTAACATGCATCTTGTACTTAAACATGCTTTAAACACAAATTTATCCAATGATTCAAGATAGAGTTCAATAAAATACTGACGAATTTGACATAGAAGTAATATTCCAACAAGATGGAGCGCCCGCACATTATTTTAGGTATGTTAGACAGTCGAGTGATGAGACTTATCTAAATAGGTGGATTGGTAGGCGTGGTCCTACCGAATGGCCCGCTCGGTCTTTTCACTTAACGCCACTTGATTTTTTTGTGGGGTTATTTAAAAACAAAGGCCTACATCACCGAACCGAAATCATTTGATTATCTAAAAGACGTAAATGTGCGAATATTACACAAAAAAAGTGAAAAGGGCCTCATTATAATGAGGCCCTTTTCACTTTTCGATAATTATCGACCGCGTCGGGAAATTAGGACCCCAAAGTAAAACTGCTCTCTATTTACAGAAATTGCTTGTATATGCCGATTTGCACCTGTGTATTTGGTATACGTCCACTCAAGAGTCTTGAGTCTTGAGTCAAGTTACATTACACATCTGTATCATAACGTTGGGCCTGCTAGATGCAGGAGCATCCTTGTTCACATTTGACTCTGCATCTGCTACAGCTTCTTTAGGCTCTTGTATAGTTTCAAGAAGACAATGAGTTAAAGCTATTGATGGGGTAAAGTCTTTTTCATAAAAAATATTTTAAATTTACTTTAAAATTATGTTTTAAAAACAAAATCTTCATAAAAATATAAAAAATATTACTAACGTTTTATAAATGATGATTTTAACAAGAAGTATTAAATATTGATTTGCAAGCAAAAGATGAAATAAAATTGTATATTTAAATCAATTTTTCTTTGCATAAATATAACTGTTTAATAAGATCGAAACGCTATAAATAATAAATCAAGACGTACAACTTTAACTATTGATAAAACAGACTTTAAATAATCTACAGAGACTAAAGACACCATTCTAGAGATGGATTCACTGTTATCTAAAACATATCGCCAACAACAAATGAGGTATCATAGGCCCCCCTTTCCATTTGAAATTTTTAAATGAATACTGCCCTCTTGCCTCTCCTTATATATGCACCTATCAATTTGACGTCAAAAAGTAGTATACTTAATGTTCTTGACAATGGTTTTCGTCCAATGTCGATACCTTTTTCGTTTAAAATCATTTTAACGTTTTAAGTAACTTTTGTACGGAGACATCTGTCACTCTTTACCAATTTTAAATATTATAGTTGCCTTTTCCACTTAATATTGAAAGCAGCCAATCACTGATGCCCAACAACGTGAATAATAAGTTAAATATTTCCGTTGTTATGCAGATAATTTATAATGTTTAACTTATTTATGAAAAAACATAATAGTATGCAATAGGAGTAGATAAATATAATTATATCATACCTTGAAAACGCCGAATCGGAACTTTTCTCCATACTTTTCCTCCACGAATCCCTCCTCAGCGTCATATTAGCCCTTTTGGCGGACGCGTTAGTTTTCTCGATCGGCCTGTAAAAGTTCACGCAAATTCCGTATCGCGTCTTTCCTGAATCCTTGTCCGTTAGAGTGAATACGAACGAAGATGCCTCCCTGAGAGCTGTTTTACGAGGGCCCACCGACGAACATCCCTCCGGCTGACAAAAATAAACCATGTCCAGGGGCATGGGAAAGTCTTTGTGGTCCTGGACCGGATAACGGCGTAGCAGCTCTGGAGCCTGGAAAGTTTGGGGGTAAACTAAATTATAATTGTTTATAAAATAAATACCTCGACAGTAAATACAGGGTCCGGCATCAGAATTGAACGGTTTTAAAAAGGCTGCTATGGAAATACTATTGATTTGGTATATGTCAAATAATGACAGACTTATACCTTATTGCCGAAGGTTTCGTGTGCAATGTCAAACTGGCCGGTTAATCAATGGATCTTTGCTGTAAATTCATAAAAAAATGCCATTTTGAGATGGGTAAGAGATTTTAACGAAAGAGGCAAAATTTCCCGCTGGAACTCGTAAGAAAATATTGGAGCGGCACTCGATTGCTCTACACATTTCAGACCGAAGTTTGCGACGAATGTTACATCTGGTTTTAAAACTCCATCCAAAAAACCGACAGTCCAGAGGCTAAATCCCATTGATAAAGTCAATCGACTCAATTTCTGCACACAATTCTTAATTGCCATTGTACACGAAACTTTCGGCAATAAGGCATAAGTCTGTCACTATTTGACATATATTAAATCAATATGTAGTATTTCCACGAAACTTTCGGCAATAAGGTACAAGTCTGTCACTATTTGACATATATCAAATCAAGAGTATTTCCATAGCAGCATTTTTAAAACCGTTCAATTCTGTTGCCGGACCCTGTATTATATATAAATATATTTAGTTAAATAGTTGATTCATTTGTAGCTACATATACCGGGTGTCACAAGTTATATAAATTAGAATTTTTGTATATCTTTTGACTTGTAATCACTAAATCATACATTTTAGTTTAACGTATGATTTTTCAAAAAAAAAATATATTTTTGTATAAATAATTATGACGAAAAAATAGTAAAAATTAAAAAAAAATGGAATTTTGTAAATTATAAATGAAGATTAAAATAACAATATTTTAGAAAAATAAAAAATTTGTGCAGCTTGGCAAATCTAGCTAGAGACTTACGAATAAACACGCCCATCGATGCGCAGATACCAGCTCTTAAAATCGTCATTTGCATTGAGTTTGCCTTAGGATAAAGAACGCTCAGCACAGTGGATTAAATCAAGTATAAAAAATGTATTAATATTATCCTGTTATTTATAAAATATTTTTTTTAACAACCGATCAAATTCGTCCGAACTGTTGTCTTCGCTGGTTACCTTGCTGTCACTGTCCCCTTGAAACTTTATAGCTTCTGCCATTTTTCCAGGGAAAATGTGGAAAAAAATTCCTCACACAATTTATCTAAGTACTCGTGTAAAGTTAAAGTTTACATTTCTCTTAGCAACATATTTTTTAAGGCTGCCCAGACTAACTCGATAGGATTTAAATCTGGGTGATATGGAGCGAGCCTCAAAACGGTGAATCCTGCATTTTTCATAATATTATCGATTTTGTATAATATTCAAAAGTATTATAACCTATTTTTATTTGCATTAATGTAACCTCTTTTAAACATACCTTAACTGTGTAAGAAATTCTTGTTTACCTTAACTTTATAAGAAATTCTTGTTTACCTTAAATACATATTCTAATTGTATAAATAAATCGAAAATTTACTATTTTTTACTCTTAAATAACTTTAATAATGTTGATATTTAAACCTTTATTAGTCCTCTGTGCAGCCGAAATCGGCAGTACCAAGCATCTCTTTTCTTCCGAATGCGTTCTCTCACACACTGCAAGTTTTTAAAGTCTCTAGCTAGATTTTTCGAATTTGTACACTCAACCAAACTTATATAGAATCACCCAGTAATAGCAAGATATAGTACATCACTTGAAAAAAGTTGTCTGAGGAAAAACATTAGGGTAAATTGGATTTTAAGAAAAATATAATAGGTTTTTGTTATTTAATAATTATTATTTTATTAATTTATAAACAAAAACAACACTGTTTGGTAGTTTCACTATTTAAATTATGATTATTAAAAATTATACATATAACAATTGTACAGGGTGGTCCACGTAAGGTGACCCATATACTTATCTCAGAAACTACTGGAGTCACAAAAAATTTATAAGGAACAAATATTCACGAAGTAAAAAATATTTTTAAAATATTATATTTTCATTTATACAGGGTGTTCGGTTTTCCTTGGGACGATACCAACTTTCTTATTTTCAATGGAACACCCTGTATTTTTTTGCATTTTTGAATTCTTCCCACTCTTTTAGGTATACTTTGTAAATATATTAAATAAGAAAATGTTAATACTTTTTGAGTAAAATTAGGATTTATTAAAATTTCTCTAAATGTAGACACTCGCTAAAAGTTAAAAATAACCAACTAAAAGTTATTATTTTTTATATTATGTAGTATCCATCTCTTTATTAATAAGTAAGCTATAAGTTAATTATTATATGTTTTGGAAAATATCATACAGGGTGATTTCTATGTCCCGTTGAAAAAAGCGATTTTAAAAGTTTAAAATCTTGTTTTTATTCAATGGAACACCCTATATATTTTTGCATAATTGGATAGAATAAGTAATTACCTTTTATTTTATATATATATATATATATATGTCCTATAACTAAACCTAACAGAAAAAAAATATTCGCATTTTTCACAATTAGTAGCTTTTTTCCAATTACCTTAGTAAAATTTTCATTATTCAAAGAAAACACCCTGTATAATATTTTCCAAAAAATAATTTAACTAACTTATAGCTTACTTATTATTAAAGAGATTAATGCTACATAATATAAAAAATAATAACTTTTAGTTGGTTATTTTTAACTTTTAGCGAATGTCTACATTTAGAGAAATTTTAATAAATCCTCATTTTACTCAAAAAGTATTAACATTTTCTTAATTAATATATTTACAAAGTATACCTAAAAGAGTCTGTATAATCCAAAAATGCAAAAAAATATAGGGTGTTCTATTAAAAATAAGAAAGTTGGTATCGTCCCAAGGAAAACCGAACACCCTGTATAAATGAAAATATAATATTTTAAAAATATTTTTTACTTCGTGAATATTTGTTTCTTACAAATTTTTTGTGACTCCAGTAGTTTCAGAGAAGTATATGGGTCACCATACGTGGATCACCTAAAAAAAATATTCGCATTTTACAAAATTAGTAGCTTTGCGCGTATGGTAATTATTATAGTAATATATATTTATATATAAAAGAATTTTTATTTGTTGTTATTGAAATTTATTTATTTGAATAATGAAAATTTAACTAAGGTAATTGGAAAAAAGCTACTAAATGTGAAAAATGCGAATATTTTTTTTTCTGTTAGGTTTTGGTATAGGACATATATATACAGTGTGTCGCACTTAAGATGAAGACACCCCCATATTTTCGCTATTTGAAGGAATAAAGGTTTGAATTTTTTCACATTCATACATGTTGATTAGATGGGTCACATTTTTTAAACTACTCAACTGAAATCTGAACTTTAAACTTGGCCTACTAAAAATTCACAAACAGGGCCAGTTTTCGATATTTTGCTTCGCGTTAGAGATATCGAAAAAAGTTATTGGAAAAAGTTGTTCAGAATATTATTCTAACCCCATATACCAATTTTTATAACAAAATTCGCATTTTTAATATTTTTTTATTTTGGTCCTTACAAAATTATTACAAGTTCATTTTTTAGTTTGATAATAAGGGAGCCATGGAAAGTAATAATTTGATACTAACTAGTGTTTATGACCGTTAAATAAATAATTAAAACAATTTTTGGAAATTACAAATCAATTATAATTTATTAAATTAAGGAAATGGTATAAAACAATAATAAAACTAATAAAAATAAATAAATTAGAAATGCGAATTTTGCTATGAAAATCGGTATACGGGGTTAGAATAATATTCTGAACAACTTTTTCTAATAATTTTTTTCGATATTTCTAACGCGAAGCAAAATATCGACAACTGGCCCTGTTTGTGAATTCGTAGTAGGCCAAGTTTAAAGTTCAGATTTCAGTTCAGTATCTTAAAAAATGTGACCCACCAACGTGTATGAATGTGAAAAAATTCAAATCTCTATTCCTTGAAATAGCGAAAATATGGGGGTGTCTTCATCTTAAATGCGACACACTGTATAAAATGAAAGGTAATTACTTATTCTATCCAATTATGCAAAAATATATAGGGTGTTCCATTGAAGAAAAACAAGATTTTAAACTTTTAAAATCGCTATTTTCAACGGGACATAGAAAACACCCTGTATGGTATTTTACAAAAAATATAATAATTAACTTATAGCTTACTTATTATTAAAGAGATGGATACTGCATAATATAAAAAATAATAACTTTTAGTTGATTATTTTTAACTTTTAGCGAGTGTCTACATTTAGAGAAATTTTAATAAATCTTAATTTTACTCAAAAAGTATTAACATTTTCTTAATTAATATATTTACAAAGTATACCTAAAAGAGTGGGTAAAATCCAAAAATGCAAAAAATACAGGGTGTTCCATTGAAAATAAGAAAGTTAGTATCGTCCCAAGGAAAACCGAACACCCTGTATAAATGAAAATATAATATTTTAAAAATATTTTTTACTTCGTGAATATTTGTTTCTTACAAATTTTTTGTGACTCCAGTAGTTTCTGAGATAAGTATATGGGTCACCTTACGTGGACCACCCTGTACATATCTAGGTACTAATATGAGACATGTATCTTTTTTCTTTAATTAAATTAAGAGTAAGTTTATCAAAGACAAAACAACAAAATCCTCAAAATACGGCGTTGAACAACTAACTTGCAGAGACTTTTTGAAAACATATTTAGGCCAAACTAGACGAAACTTTAATAAACAAATTAAAGAACACATCTTATATAAACATTAAACAGGACTCATATGCTAACCATTTAATACAAGGCGACCACAAATTTTACGATAACTTTATAATCCTACATGTAGCCAATAAAGGCGCTAAATCTTCTGAATTCTTTAGAAATTAATAAACTAAAGAAAAAATCGGATATTCTTATTAATGACCAAATTGAAAACAACAACTCTCCTTTGCTAAATTTATTTTA